TACCACGTTAATTTTTACCTGCCGCGTTTTGTTTCATATCTACGCCTATCTAATATCCCAATGTACCACGTAGGGTCTTTTTAAATTGGGTATAATAACGGTTACACCGTATTATTAACCGTATGCATCAACCGACCGATCGGCTATCTGTATTATAAATTATTTTAAGATAAAGTATAAATATAGCCTATAAAAACATCAAAATTGATTAAATGATCAACATATTTTGAAAAATTAGCTATAAATAATGTAAAATCCCTATAATAAAATAGTAAGTTGTACCGAAGCAGCGTGGTATTTTGAAGCGTGGTATTTAGCCCCTGCCTTTAATTAGAGGGATTAACGAATCAATCAGGCGTTAATGAATACACACGCCGGCTGTATATAGGTAATTAAGGAATAAACATTCCGAATATGCATTCGGTCACTGTGACGTCACTGGCGTCTGAGTGGATTAAGAGTGTTTTCGATAATTAGCAATGTCGTTTTTACTGGAGGTCTATTTTTACGACTTTGACTGAAGATAACTGAATTAATTTCAATCAGATTGGTGTGAACTTGCCGTAAAGTTGATATAGTAACCATTGGCTACACGTATCGAAAAGTTTCCAAGCCCATCACATCACATAAACGACTCACTCTTCGTCTGGCTGTATGGTTGGACAGTGCTGAAATTGAAAACAACATCGAGCATGATATGGTTGGCAAATTCTATTTCAAATATAAGCCACCCAACATAATTAAAATTTGTTCCCCGTTTAGTGAAGGATTTGATTTTTTTTACAATTAAGCCAATATTAATATTTATATACTGTTGATCTGTATTCTATTACTGCTCTAACCAAAATATCACTTTATAATGATAAACATTTTCTTGAAATGGTTCAAAGATATAAATTTAGAAACCCCACATCGTGGGAATGAAACGACTTTAAAGGAGACCGGGGTAGGCTAATCTGTTCATATGGATAGCGATGAAGTTTCTATTTCTGATGCCTTCATTATATACCGACCTGACTAACTTTAGTTTTTTTTCCAACAATATATTATTCATGTTGCATAAAGCGATACGGAATTTCATAGATAGAGGTGTTCTTGACTTTTATTACGAATTACAGCTGCCAATGGTTTTCGTCCGATCCCAACGACTAGACACTGTCCCTGACTACAATAACGGCAGCCTCAGCAAATCACAGGGACGGAACTAATAATGTCAGAAATATTATAAAGCTTAGTTTTGCCAGTGTGTATGCTAGCTAGCGATGTTATATAACACATAGAAATATATTTCTATGATATAACCGATATCATCCGGTGTGGTTCTCATTCCATGGTCATTGATACAGGACAGGACAGGGGCTAGTCGTTCGGATGGTATAAAGAGACATTTTATTTTTAGCAGTAATAAAATATAGCCCAACAGTATATAAATATCAATTGGCTCAACCTTAAAAAAAATAAATATAATTCTCCAAATCCTGCATTTGTCTAAAAAAAAAAAAACATGAACAAATGCTGTTTTGCTTATATTTGAAATACATATCACGTTCGATGTTGTTTTCAATTTTAACTCTCCGCCAAACCATGGACCTTATATAATACATTATAAGGTCAACGGCCAAACCATTCAACCTGACGAAGATGCTTTATTACACAACTACACACATGGTTAATATACAAGTATGGCGAAACATGTATATACAAAAAAACAATACAATAATAAACATCAAAGAACATAGAATAAGGTTTACAGCGGTTTCTAAAAGTATATTAATAATGCTAGTTATAAGGTATATATTAGGTCATTATATGCATTATTGAATCATTCAAACTAGTTTTAATGTGATGGCTTAAAAACATTTTCCGAAGATTATTTTTTTATGCCTTCCTGTCTTTATTTCAAGCTTATGTGCACCGAGTCTAAATTGGCTTAGTGCCTGGCGCTTTTGTCCATCTGGTATAGATCCAGGTATTTCTCAATATCATAATTTGTCTTCGTTTTGTAATAAAATCATTTTTTGTGTTAATTTTAATTTTAAGGCAATTATTTAAGTTTTTAACTGTTCGCCCTTTTTCAATATATTTCCAAGACTGAACATAAATATTCCTCAATCTTTGTTTGAACATCTGTAGAAAAGCGTCTTTATTAAAGATGGGTTCCCGAGTACAAACTGGGCGATTTAATGGTATATATGGACTAAAACATATTCAAACTAATTAATTTTTCATAACTTTGCCTCAAATCATTCTCAAACTTCGCTTACTATTTATTACAAATATCGAATCCTAATTAAATTCTCGGATTATCCGCTACCCGTGTCTTTTTCCGTCATTTTTATCTCAGAAAGTCTTGTACATCAAACTCTTCATCATTGTACATCAAGCGCTCAATGATCGCGTGTGACCTTTGACATCACGCGTGCAGAAATTCCTAATCGTCGGGCTGTTGATTAGGGGAACCTTTACATTTTTGTCCCATCCATGAGTGTTTTTCGGGGAATCAAGTATTTTTGTAGGAAGATTGGATATCTCTACTTTCCATATATACCAAAATTACCATACTTTTATTGGAAATAACCACCCGATAAATACTTTACTGGGAACCCATCTTTAAAAGACCGAAAGATAGGTTGTTCATACAACCCACCCAGTCCAGTCTCCTCTAGGACATATCTAATTTGATTACTCCATCTACTACTGGCATTTTTCATTTCATCCAGAGCAGACTGAAGTGGGGGTGGCTTGTTTTGATTTTGATTCGATCCATAGGCTATGTCTTGACCATCAGGTATTTAACATCAAGAAGAATCGGGAACCGACCAACTTCAACTAATAGCCTATACAGCAGAGATTGAAGTTTATTATGAACATGCAAAAAGTGTCTACAAAGATTTAACTGCAGCCTCTCAAGCTTGTAACAGTTTGTATGGTTGGATGTATTATGATATTCAAGGAATGGCATCCATGTAATAGTGGGTTTGACAAATTTTGCACAAGTGAGACATTCCTCACAACATCGGCCATGGTGAATTGACGAATTCTCGCGTTCATAAACGAGATGATGGTATATTTTTAGCGACAATGACAGGCACCGCGTGCTAGGGTTATAGTTAGGGTTGGGTTTGGTCCAAAAATTCTGACGTCATGTGCAATTCAAAGTGATTGACCCCGTGACGAATGTCTCCCCGGCCACCAAGCTGGGTTTGACTAGGATATCAACATAATGGTCTCGATGGTGCTCAATCGCCAAATTGAGCACACTAGCTGTGACGTCAACAAACGACATCATAATGATGATTGCTAGTTAGACATATCAAAATTCTAAATTTGTTCGACGTTTTTGCTAAACATGTAAAGCGACAATGAAGTAGGCATTTTTGGTCTTAATAATAGAAATAAAATGAATTAAAATTTACACTGAACAAATAAAGAAGTTGGACTATACATTGTCTTAATTTAGAAATTAGGCCTTATACCTGAATATAAGTTAGAAATTAGGCCTTATACCTGAATATAAGTTAGAAATTACATGAATAAAAGTTAGAAATTAGACGATAGCGCATGTTAGAATTTTGAATCTAATATACCACCATACAACCATGACCACGGGTGTGAATTTGTCATAACTTTGGAGGGGGGGACGAACCCTCGAACCTGGAACATATCATTACCAAACGAAATAAATAATTACGAAGGCTGTAACTAGGGGTAATATGATGACAATATGGAAAAATTGACTACATACATCAAAGCTGCATAAATATTAATTGTTCGTGAAGTTGAGTGAATCGTCCAATGACGTTCGTTCTACGATCAGGACTGTTCTCTTTGAATATCTTGGCGACATGAAGGGGGTCATGCACCGCACACGCGCCATCAAGTGGTTCAGTCGGTTTTGCGTCATGGAGTTGCGCAGCCAAGTTTTGATACGGCGCAGAGTGCTGAAGGATCGCTCGGCTGAGCAGGAACAGCAGGGTCCAGCAGTGTGAGATGAGAAGAGCTTCCACAGAAGGGAACATCTGCCTCACCTCAGGTGACATAATGAGGAACGCTTCGTACAAGTGAAATAGATTTGGCCGAAAACTGGCGCTTGAAGAATGGCAATTCTTGTTCCAAGTCCCGATTCAGTTCCAGATACGTAGAAACAAGCCCACCATCATGTTATGTGGATATAAACCTGAAAATCTGTCCTGACGATCAAAATCATTAGGGGTTGGGGCAGAGACCTATTCGCCCCCCTCCCCCGGCCCCCTTCCGATTCTAAGGGGGGACACGCCCCCCCCCCCTAAATCAACGTTCATGCCCAGACCTACGCCCTTAACACATTATTAGTATTACGGCAATTTGATCTTTATTGCACAAGTTGAAGCAATATAAGGCCGACTCGATACCATAATTTGATGTTTGATTTTTATTGCACAAGCTGTGGCAATAGGCCTAATGGACTACGATATATAGATCCGAACAGTTCCATACCATCATAGTAAGTCTACATTAACATAGCCTACCATCGCGGTGAAGTACGTGTTTTAAGTTAGAACCATGGCGGTTTTTAATGGAGATCTTCCAACTTTAGACCATATAAAATCACATATATTATCCGTTACTAGTAATATTAGAGACGAGCGAACATCCGCTGATATCAAGAAATACGTGAGTCGTTTACACCCAAAGTTTGATAAATTAGAAGAAAAGAAAAAAGCCAAAAGGTAAGAATAAAAGGCAACGGCGTCGGCAGTATTTTTAAATATTCTGATGCTATCAAAGTGAAAGTAACAAAGTATGGACATAACATTTTTTCCTGAATTCCATGTTATGGTGATTCACGGTGGCTTAGTGAGTGTATCTTATCTTATGTTATCTTCTGCATGCATGTAAATTTATTTTAACCTTATAATGCTGTCCTCGGAGGACGTTTCGATACAATCAAATTTTACCGGCAGTTTGGTCGAGACTACTGAATATTCGAAATTGAACTGGATGATGGAGCCTTTTCTACTTTCGTTTTTCCACACAGCTCCGTCAACTTCGAACCGTCAGTGTTAATGTACGATTGTTTGAGTATTAAAGGCAAATTGAAATGTCATATAATATATATGATTATATAGATCATTAAATTTAGTACGGAATTAAATTCTGGACATATTTGGGGTTCTTGAGTGAGTAGGCGATTGGTTGTTCCACAGGCTGTATTACCTATTCTTGTGCAATTAGTTGTGTCTATCTCATATGTACGTGTTGTCAACAAGGTAAGATGGCTGATATATGTGGAGACATTCCAACTATAGCAGATATAAAATCACATGTAATATCCTTTGCTAGTAATATAAAAGATGAGCGAACATCTGTTGATGTCAGAGAATACACGAATTCCTTACATCCAAAGTTTGATATATTAGAAGAAAAGAAGAAAGCCGAAGGGTAAGAATAAAATATGACATACCTGCGGCTGTCAATACTGTCATAACCTATATTTTCCATTAGGTTTTATTCATGCTTTAAATGTACAGCAGATAAAGATAAGTTTTTTCTTGCACATGCCAAATTTGTTATATATCAATACCAATATGCGCTGGCTATAATATTATAGGAAACCACAAAATATTGTGATGTAACAATAGACTTCTTGAAAGCAGGTAAGGAGGAATCCTATCGGTATCTCCCCCTAAAGATAGGAATTGAAATGAAATGGGGATTGACATCCTACTAACCTGCACCAAACGGGGTAATAATGAGGGCCATTTATGCCTTATAATTTGCAATGAGAGAAATATTGCCCATACATACAGCGACGCTACAGCCTATAGTATGTAGACTACACTTAGTTCGAATTCCAGCTGTCAAGGGTTCCTTTATGTGTAAACAGTACCTTGTTTTTTGTGCCTTCTGATTGACTAGACTAGACAAGACACGGTTTCTTGACAAGCCCTGCTTTCTTGACAAGCGCTCCTTCCTTTAACTATACAGACATGGGGAAACCATGCTGGCAAAGTCAAGATAAGTGCTCTCACATAATTGTTATCTCTGTAAACTCTAATACTTGTTAGTGATATAATCAGCTTTTTGGAACCGGAACTGGTCCACTCTACTAATCATCTTTTTGTTTTGGGTGGAGATGGTCTTTGAAAAAAGCCGAAGGCTCCACCAATTAATGCTGGATCGACATAACAGTTGGCAAAGTTGATCCTTGGACAATTGTGCATCGATTGTTAGATTTCGATTTTTGATATGTCGCAATTCCAAAATGACTGTCGCAGTGATGATGTCATACTCGATTCCTGGTCCATAGTCTATCATAGTACACTTGTATGTTTTAAAACCAGGTTACACTCTGGCTAGTTTTGGTCGTATAGCTACATAATGTGATATGGGTGACATGCTTACTCTGTCTGAATAGCTTGATGTCACTTGTCACTGTGCTTATCAGAAAAGTTGTACCGTGACAAGCTTACTTGATTAACGGTATTGTATTTATCCTGAGACTTAATTTCCTGGAATTTTGAAATTAAATTCTCTCAAGAGCATTTCAACTCACACAAAGCCCAACTTAGGGGGCCCCGCAAAAACGGAAAAAATTCAAATTCCAGATGAAAGTTTCACAGTAATCGATCTAGCGGCGCGAGGGCGGAGACTGAGCTATCCCTCAACCTTCTCTGTGAAGTTCAAGTCGTTGATCGGTCTAGGCTTCTAGTGCCGTGATGGGCAGAGACTGGGTGAGTTTAACAGTTCCCTGCCGTTATATATGTCATTTCATATGTGATCAGATATTATGTAATTATTTTTGTATTACAGACCATTTAATTGTGTGTTACATATGCGGGCCATTCAAATGGATATGAAATAATCTTTTTGTCGCGTTAGGGGCAGCACGATTCTAGTCAGGCCCTGGGCCACGTTCCGGTTAAGCTGGGCTTTGCACTCACATGGCTAGTGAAGATTAGAAGTCTGCACCCACCTTACTGAAAATAATCATCGATATAACTGTATTTAAATATTCTGTAAATATTTCAAAGTGTTAGTTATAAAGACCAATGTTTTTTTTACAATCATTTAAATATCTTTTAAATACGTTTCAGCTGGTTAGATTGGGCTAAGCAATTAAAAACTCTAAAGATTATTCGTTCATCAGTACCAATAGCTATATTACCAAATGGTTATAGAGGAGTATTAATTGATGTTAAAGTTAACAGCCCACATGCTCCTGATGACAAAATATACGATACAAATGAAAAGATACGACAACGGGTAAGAATGAAGTAGAAACAATGTTGGTGAAGTAGATTGTATGGTGAAGTATTTATACAGACTCTGCCACCGCCAACCAACCTATTATTTTAATTCCATTTAGAATCTTAAGACATGTTTGTGGAGAGTGCATTATTGACATACAGTGAAATGTCTTTATAATCACAGCCGTTAAAAGAGATTTTTGAGAACTCCCTGTTGCATAGGTTGATCAGGAGTCAACCAATCCTTTCAATAGCTTTGTCAGAATTTTCTGTATCACAGATTTTGATTGATAGGTTAAAGGACAATATTGGTGTCAGTCATTATCACATATGTGACAGAGCTGGTTAAACACGTTCCAAATATAATTTTAACACAGAGATCATTGCTACGATAGATGCGTAATGAAGATTTCAAGGAATGGAAGTGACAAAAGCAAAAGGAAAACACGAGTTATCCTTCTATATAACTGACTAATAATTCCTTCAAAGACCAAAAGTTGTTACATGAGACTATGGGAGGATATCTGACAATTCAAAAAAATAATTATCTGTCACTAGATAAGAGAAAATGAAAAAATAGAAAAAGTCTGTGCATTACCATATTTTTATTAAGTATAGAATGAATAAAAACAAGGGAATGTACAGACTATTTCTAGTTTTATCTGATCTAGTGGTGGTGGGGGGGGGCGAATGGTTAGCATGTGGGCGCTGTATCATAAGGTCTTACATTGAGTCAACTGGCGTATTTTCGATTCCCCGGTTGTACGTGACAAGGAGTAGGGTTGCCTATCCAACCCCGTGGGTTTTCTCCGGGTCCTCCGGTTTTCTCTTGACTGCTAAAGACAAGTACGCGCAAGTTAATTATTGAAATAAAATTGAATCATGTGTTAGTCTCGAAATGACCTAGTTGGTGTCGAGTGGACATTAAATACCCTCCCTCTCTCTCTCTCTCTCTCTCTTACTTAGTGATATTCAATCACATTTTTAAATTGTCAGATCCTCTCACAGTCTCACATACCAACTTTTGGTCTTCAAAGGAATTATTAGTGAACAGAAATTTGCTCGTGTATCTGTTATCACTCATCACTTCAGTGAAGTTCAGTCAGTTATGTACATATGTAGAAGGATAACTCATGTTTTCCTTTTACTTTTGTCACTTCCGTTCATTGAAATCTTCATTACGCAACTATCGTAGCAATGATATCTGTGTTAAAATTATATTTGGAACATGTTTAACCAGTTCTATCACATATGTGATAATGACTGACACCAATATTGTCTTTTAATTTGATCATGTTTCGACCAATCACAATCTTCTCCATGCTGAATACTTCCTTTAAATTAATGTCTTTAGACCAAGATGAAGTGAAGTCAACTGCCGAAAAATCCAATCTCACTGTGATACCCAATAAGGAATAACTATCATGTTTTGTGAAATATTTTGGATTTAATTTTTCAGGTTGCAAGAGGTAATTGTTTTCTGCAAATAGAAAATGGTCCTCACAATGGAACTACATGTGTGTTGTATGGCCTGAAAAAGTTTACTGGTGGTCTAGGAGATGACGATGATCGAGATCAGGGAGATAATTTCACATGGAAAAAATATTTTACAAAGGTACCGGTAGTAATAATTACAAAAACCAAATTTATATTTTTTTTGTTATAAGAACCAGAAAATATGGAATTATTTTGTTTGAAAAAGGTTGCTTTCTTTTAACCGAAGAACACACATGGTTTACATTAATTTTATTCATTGTACAGATTTATCTAATTTAGCTGCTTATTTTTAAAGCCCTTAGAGTCTACGGAGCGGGTGGTAGCTACAAGAAAAGCCAATGGAGAAGCAGCACATTTAAGTTGTCAGATTATTGATGGACATTTTGTTATGTGTGGGGGCTCTAAAAATGTCCATCTTCTCTTTAGAAGAAAAGGTAATAGAATTATAAATCCAAACCCCCTTTATGAAGTCTATTTCTGTTATTTAAATATACATTTCCTCGTAGTTGACATGGACATTCTGTAATAATTAACTTATTTATTTATTGTGTGCTTATTAGGCAATTTGATTCAATTTATTTGGTTTTTCCTGGTCATTACAAACAAAGTTTAGAGGGTTGAACAGATGACCCAATTCCAATATCCATCTATCGAGCTCTAAAGAAGATTTTTAAAAAGAGTTTCCACAAACATGAATGGATGAACAGGAAAATTTACACTTATTGTTACCTACTTGTTTCAAAAACCTTGTGGACAAACTGCAGAATAAAGTTTTTCAATTCTTTGATGTAGCTTCTACTCCCTTTGTTTATACTCCCAGCTTTAATTCATTATGACTAAATATTTTATATTTCATTTAAAAGAGGATATAGATAGATATAAAGAACCAAGATATTTGATAGCAAGAGAAGTTTGTGAAACTGTTATGCACCATTTAGAATTAATGGATCAAAATGACAGATTTCTGTAAGTATAGATATCGGTCAGATGCTGTCCTCTTTTTGTTTGAAAAATCTTGAATGTCTGACAGTTATCAGTTATTCAAAAGTCATCATCAAAGAAGTTATTGAATTAAAATACTCAATTCCGGATTTTGGCAGCATGAGATTTAGGGGTTGTAGGGGGCGTCTTCCTGCTAATTAAGTGAAAAGTTGTTTTATTTGTATAAGAACTCTTAATCTATACTAATATTTGTGACTGTCGTTTGTCTGTCTGTCTGTTTGTTGTCTGTTCGGGGTTGGCGACTACACTAGGTCTGCTAGTCTGAAATTTGGGGTATATCGGTAGCACGGACCGGGGAGTAACATAGGCCAGGTGGCGTTAGTCTACCACTTCCAGTTTCGGCGTTATGACCCCGAGCGAAACCGGGCATTCTTCTAGTTATCTAATAAGAAGTAAACATACACTATGCCAAAAGGAAACACTGTAATATTACTGTATAGAGAGAGAGAGAAATGGGGTTTAACGTCCACTCGACACAACTAGGTCATTTCGGGATTAACATATGGTTTAATTTTATTTCAATAATTCGCTTGCGCATAGGGGTCTTTAGCAGTGGGAGGAAACCGGAGGACCCGGAGAAAACCCACGAGGTTGGACAGGCGACCCTACTCCATGTCTCGTACAACCGGGGATTCGAAACCACGCCAGTCGACTCAATGACAGACTTTATGATACAGCGCACGCACGCTAACCATTCAGCCATCCAACCCCCCTATTACTGTATACCCGAGCAGGCTAGATTCATAACACATTGTCTCTCTGAAATCTTATTCTGACTCTGATAAAAATGTATTATTTGTTGATTTAATTGGAAGTCAAATGTTAAAGGAGTTAAATCTCTATTCTTTGGCACCTAGAAATGGACACAAATGGGTTGCAACACATATATGAATGTATATAAACTGATTTACATTCAATCGTTTCTGTAATTTCTAATCAGTTATGTTAAACAAATTCGCGAAGAGTCAAAATTGAATGGCAGTCTTTGGCATCTGGTTATTCCAGTCTACACCAGTAGTATTCTCCTGTGGGGTATGTTTAGCCTCGTTCTTCGATTCGCTTCATTGCAAATGGCGCTCAAAAGCATTTTCATTTTGTTTTATATATTGGATATCAGAAGCCCATCTTTTCACAGTAAGATAAAAACATCAATGTTGATTTAAATTGACCAATAGGTAGTGTTTGCAGTGTCGAGGAGTGTGGATGATATTGAGTTAAAGACTTGTCTGTTTTAACCTACATTTCATATAGATTTACATTAATTTTGAAACTCTTACATTCCAGTTTGTTAAGTTTCCTATCTCATACCCATTTTACGGCAGTGTTTGAAATACTTTCACCGGTTCATCAACATGTAGAAGATTTATCACATTTATCGAGGTAAGTTATTAATTTTATTTCAGTCTTCAGATTACGTGTATTTCATTGATCACCTGGAGACTCTAAGAAAGAAGCTCCATCATTATCCTTCTGCCAGTATTCATCTTGTGAGTGTTTATTGGGCTTGTATATGTTTAGAAAAATTTCAACAGCAAAGGTATTTATAATTATATTGCTTCAAAGAAATGTTGCTCTGTTTCCCCCAGTTTTACAATAGCTACAATAAAGTACAAGGATTTAATTATTGAACATCAACAGTTTTTAAAAATATTTTAGAGAAATGGAAATATTCCTCAAATATTTATCAAAGCAACATGTTTGACAGTGATATGGTTAAAATATAATTGTTTTTTTTTTATTTTTGTTAGAAATGAATTAAGATTTATAACATGGACAGAAATAAACATAGATTCAAGAAATGATGGTGAATTATGTACTGTACCACCACATGTAGCTATAGAGGTAAAGATAGATTGCTGTTAACTTACGCTATTGCAGGGCTCTTCCTGCAATTTGATTTTAATATATACTATTCAAAAAAAGTAGGGGATATTTGATTTTGGGGGCATAATACTAAAATATGCAAATGACTACGAAAAAAGTCACTATAGAACCTAACAGAAGAAACATTTCCAGTTACATGTGACGCCCAAACGCATCAATAGCTACCGCATGGAATGCAGGTGATGCTTGGGATCATCATGGGGGTCCAACCCAAGATTTGCACGACTCTGACTTTGAATGTTACAGTCATTGTGGCATTGAATTCCAGGGTGGAAACATCAGTTTAATTGTTTTAGTGACCAGAAAACAAATTTTGATATGCGTCGGCTTACCCAAAATGAAAGGTTACGTGCCCTTGGCATGCTACAGATCGGCACAACACAGGCGGTTGTGGCGCGGACGATGAATGTTTCTCAGTCTGTCATAAGCAGGCTATGGTCCAGATACCGTGATACACAATCTGTACAGGACAGACCACGCTCAGGTCGACCAAGGGCGACAACTCAAGCCCAGGATCGATTTATCCGTACCTTGGCCTTGAGAAATCGTGTCATCACAGCAAATCAGATCAGCGCTCGTCTTCAAACAGACACTGGTGTGAGAGTGAGTGGCCAGACGATTCGGAATCGACTGCATAGGGGTCACCTTCGCGCCCGACGTCCTCGCGTGATCCCTTGTTTGAGAGATCATCACATTCAGGCAAGACGTCGTTGGTGTAGGGATCGTCAACACTGGGATAATCGACGCTGGAGCAATGTGATGTTTTCAGATGAGTCAAGGTTCACTGTTGATTTTTTGGACAGACGTAGGAGGGTGTGGCGTCGTCGAAACGTGCGCTTCCAGGACGTTAACGTCATCAGACATGATCGATTTGGGGGTGGTTCTGTTATGGTGTGGGGAGGCATCACTGTTGCTGGAAGAACGGCTTTACATGTTGCTGCAGGGCGTGTTACAGGCCAGTACTACCGGGACAACATCTTGGCAGTCCATGTTGTGCCGTTCGCACGACGTCATGGCCGCCGTTTCATCTTCCAGGATGACAACGCAAGATGTCACAGGGCCAGGATCGTTACAGGTTACCTCCAACAACAGAACATCACCACATTACCTTGGCCAGCACTGAGTCCCGACCTCTCCCCCATCGAGCATGTCTGGGACATGCTTGGACAGAGGTTACGTCAACGTCAACAACGTCCTGCCAATGTCCAAGAACTTGCTGCTGCGTTGCAACAGGAATGGGACAATCTGGACCAAAATGACCTTAGACGTCTCATTAGGAGTATGCCACGTCGGATCAATGCTTGTTTGGCAAACAGAGGAGGATTTACCCGTTACTGACTTGGTTGTGATGCTGTGGTAACTTTGCTGTTTGACCCCGGGTATCATTTTACCCTTATAATGGTCAGTCTGTGCCTTACTTAGTCTAACGATCATTTGGAATAAATCGATGAATGTGAACTTCATTTCATTTTGTCATTTGTTTCTTCGTCAGTTTCATTAGGTGACTTTAATAACACTTAAAAATCAAATATCCCCTACTTTTTTTGAATAGTATATATTAATGTATATGGATACCTAACTTCACAATTTCCCAGTTTTATCAAAAAAAATAATAATTATTCTAAAACTATGCACATTTGTGATCAAATAAAGTTAAATTTTAAATACTTTTTCTATGATTTTAATTCAGTTATAAGAAATGAAAGTTAACATATTTCTTTGTATAGCTAGTATTTCAAACTAGTAAAATTAAATAATTTATTAATTCATTTTTATCTTCAGATTGCTCGAGCCTTGAAACTTCCCACAGTAGATTATGATGTTATACCAATGGCTGACTTAGAGAACCAAATGATGGAGGTATACAAATACAATAGGTCTACACTTTAAAATAAATTTGAATTTAATATTCGAAGTATTGTATGATCTCTCATATATGCATACCAATTTCAAATTTTACCCATGTTTCTTTTACTCCCAAAAGGACTTGTCGTTGGTTAAATACTTGCAATTTTATCTTGATATTATCTAAAATGTAACTTATTTTTAAGGTATACCGTATATGTTTCAGATAAGAAAAGGTTATAATTTTGAAGGAGAAGTTTTATATTTCCTAGATGAAAAAGTATCAGTTATAGGTTTATTAAAGAAGAAAACCATATGGTAAGTCAGTTGTGTCAAAAACCAGCCCAAAAAGGAACTCTTCTATTTTCCATTAAAAGATTTCAGCAAAGATGATAGGTGACGCTTCCAATGTTTTGACCATATCCCGATTATATAATCTGCAGAGGATGCATAATTTTTGTAAATTTTCAATTCATTAAAATTGTAAATACAGCTTGGAAATTAACCATTTTTGGTCTGATATTCCGTTCAGATATTTAACTTTAGCTATATTGTAGTTTGCAAAATGTCTCAAATGACAATCAGAGATTTGAAAGTTTAATATATAATAAATTTTATCTATTTGTAGGTATATATTATGTAGAGCAACAAGAGAAAAAGTAAAATATGCAGCTAGTGCATATCTTAAATCACCAGAAGGGTTCTCTATATCTAATGCAATCATCAAGGTAGGTTAATAATAGGGGTACAATTAAATGGTTGACCAAACTATAGTATTCACATTCAGGAATATGGATAAATGGCAGAAAATTTCCTGCAATTTTAATATTGAATACTATTGTCAAAAACCTTCAGTATTTTTCATTAAATAATTAATTAATGGATATTCCCAATGATTCCCAAATTTCCATTGTTTTTTGTTTAAAATTGTTTAGCACATTTTCTTCAAGAGATTATTTACCTATCATTACCTATTTTAAATTTCAGCTAGAGAAAAGACTGGATCAAATTCAATCCTGGTTAGGTCTGGATAATGATGGTCTAAAACATTGGAAGGTAAGTCTTATTATCAATAATGAAGTCTTTTCTTTTTTAGTTTTTCAACTACTACCAGTAATTAAGCACAAGCCTGGTCATAGGTCTTTCCATTATAATTAGTTATTTCCCCAATCTTTGACATTTTAAAGCTTACTAGGTTTTTCTGTCTTGTCAAATAGATGAATCCAATTGAAATACATACATAAATTATTCACTGAGTTATTACTCTTATGATTGAAATCTTGACATCACTTTCATTTCATTAGCTTTACCTATTATATTTCAGGAACTAACATCAAACTTTATGAGATGGACAGTTAAAAGAGTTGAAGATAATAAAACAACACAAAGTGATATTGCTGATAGATTTCCTGTTTTATGGTAAGAGAAACAGAAATAATAGACTTTTGGCAAGGGGAATTTTCCCCATCTGTGTCACATGATACGTTGCATCAATGTAGTTTTAGAGTATTGGCAGATTATTGCGCCGCAGACATATGAGTGGCTGAGCTGAGCTTGGTTCTGTTACAGCATAATGGCAGTTATCTACCAAGATCACCATCAGTACTAATCAAGTGCCTAGCCTACAAATTACTATAGGGAGTGAAGTCACTGGACAGTTGCTGAGCTATTAAAAAAAATTAATGTCAAATCTTATTAATAATCTTCAACTTCGACTCGACAGAAATGTTTGGCTTCACTAATGTATCATTTCAGAAAGTTTATACCCCTTTACCATAGAATCACATCATTTACAGATTTGCAGACAGACAAACAGGACAAATATGAAAATTCTGAAAGAAACTCTATTGAAAATAATGATTAAATTCCAGTCTTTATCATGGTTAAAATCACATCAAGTATAACCTTCGTGCCCTAGGATACACATGATTCATAAAAACGCTATGGCACAACATTTCAGGGTCTAAAAGTAGCAAAAAAGATGGTAAAAAGACGACAACGTTATACAGACCTTTCCCGTATGAAAGCTGTTCAATACGTGCTGCCGTATCCGTGTGCCATATCAAGTATGAGAAATACACAACCATTGATGACGTCACACGCAAAGTCGATACGGACCAGCAATTTACGCTTGCCAAAAGTCTCTAATGCCTCTGTCCACCCTACCCTACATGTACCTATGGTTGTTATAAATCATTGAAACATGCAGCTCTTCAGCTCTCCAGTATAGCCTACACTTAAACACAAGAAACTTATGGACTTGATGTAAGTGTGCAGGCCGGTACAGGGTTCTCCCCTGGAAATTTTTTTAAAATTGGAGGGTCGCAAACATGTTTTCCAGCCCAAAAAAAACATTCTCTAACTCTAACAATGAACATATAGTGACATGACAGGGACCCATACAACAGTGGGCCATTGGGCAAATCAGTACAAAATATATGGCAGATAGATGTCAGAGCATAACCAATAATATGTAATATATTATAACGTCCCCAAATCAATACTCCACATGATGATCCCTGAATACTGTCAATTACAAACAGTAGGTTTTTTAGAACTATGTAGCATACCCCTATCCCTCATGGGTTAGATCAAAGGCTTGTATGTGACAAGGAGAAGGATCTTCTGCCTAACCTTGTGAGATTGCTCTTAATCGTCATTTTCATTCCAGTTTTCTCCCTGTCCAAAATTCAAAGAGAATATGCAGAAATATTTTAGCACTAAACTGAATTGGTTGTGTGTTGAGTGAATACTTAACCACTTTCCTATCAGATAATTACTGTGTAATGATTTGACCTATTATGTTTTATTTAGGAAGGAATTCCTGGAAGAAAGTCAGTCTACAGACAATATACCATTTACATGGAAAGAACCAGAGGGTTCGGATAATTGATGGTACTAAGATTCAGTAGATCTTTGACCAAACAGTATCAGTATTAATTCAATCTAATGACTAATTCCAGGCAGCAGACAAAAGTTTACTCTTACACCTGTTATTTTTTATTTATTTTTTTTTCCTTTCCACATAAAATACTTCAGGTTATTTTATATTTATTTTAAATATTCAAAGCATTCATACTTTTGTATGATGATTTTATATTGTATACAATGAAAAATTAAATATAATTTATATTTCTTTAAAATAGTACAAGTTTATACACATGAATTAATTTTGTCATTTATTAAATTTTAATTATTTTCTATGTCAAAGTTTTCATTATTAATTGAACCGAATATGATTTTAGGAATTTTTTAAAACAATTTTAAAAAAGTGGATATTATTTGTTTGGGAATTGTTTAAAACAATTTTCAACTGTATTTTATTTTTTTGTGAACTTTTATTTTAAGATTAATAGTACTTTTTGCAAATGTTTCAGTAACATTTTTAAACTGTATTAGTAAATTTTAATCTAATATACACGATTGTACAATTTTAAATAAAACATCTGTGATACTAGTAATTGACTTGTGGTTAAACAGAAATTATCTTGAAAAGTGCAGGTATTATCACTGGATTCTTAGTATCTTGCAAATGAAGGATGTGCAGTTCATCAATTGAAGTATAGAGATGAATATAGTGTTTTAAATGTCTCGTCACTACTTTATTTGGATCATTTTTATACTCCCACATTAAATATTGACCTTTAGCCCATACCTGCGTCCATCATACACAACTTCTTGTGAACACTTTACAGACTACAGGTCAGAGTTATTGAAAGTTTTTTCAAATATGCAAGGATTGTTCAGTGGGTCATTAATTGCATAGTTATCTCCCAATATACATTCAAACTTATGAAAACTTGTGAACATGATACAGAAGAGACCGACAGAATTATTGATGAAAGTTGCTGGGATTGTGATATAAGAATGACCCCTAATCAATCCATGTAAGAAAGCCTAAAAATAAGCCATCTGTCAGATATATATTTTTTTTTTAGGGTTCTTATTTATAATTTTAATTCAAGTGCACACAAAGTTTAACAAACCAACTGTGAGGCTAATGTCCCCCGCCACAATCCCAAACTAAATAGATGACACATACTAATTTATTGCACATTTATTTTTATACACCCACATTTTCATGTGGATGTATATTGTGGTCACCCCAGTCCGTCTGGACGTCCAATTTGTTTGTGGACACTGTACGAAACTTGAAATATAGGCTATCTCCCAAAGATCTCGGTTCCTTTCGATATTGGCATGTATTAGACCATAACTTCATGGATTATGGCCCCTGATTGTACGAAAAATCACGTTTTTAGCTCTAGAGGTCACAATTTTGATCCAATTTTGATGGAACTTGAAATGCATGTTGGTTCCTTTCGATATTTTTGTGCAGATCGGATCCCAACTTTCTGAATTATGGCCCCTGATTGTACGAAAAATCACATTTTTAGCTTGTGGTCCCTCTAGAGGTCACAATTTTTATCTGATTCAAAAGATAGGTTGCCAGGCAACGAAACATACGCCCACAGAAGCTAAATTGTCCGGGCAGTCAACAAGTTTTATCACATATTTAAACTATACACAAAGTTTCATCACTCTCTATCAGATAGAATTAAAGTTATTTTGTCCTAAAGCATCGACCAATGAAATTGCTTAGCTCTTAATTAGAACTAAAGTTATCGTGTGCCATAGCATCTACCAATCATTATGATGGGGAAAAAAGACAAATCTATTCCCTAGCCACTTCACTATTTAAGCCTTGTAACTTGTACTGTCCACACATGAAACAATGCTACATCAAGTTGCACTCATGCGTGTCAGTGATGGGCATGAGTGTATACTGTATACGCCGCCGATTTCACAAGATGCTTTCATTGATGTCTGTCTATAGTCACTCTATAGGATTAGGGCACTGTCAGCTAAACAACAAGAATTTGTTTGAAAGTGGAAGCATTAATTAGACCAGACTGGTGTGTTTGAGTCGATGGTTTGAGTCATTTGGGATCCCTGCAACGGGTTGGGAACAGATATATTTGGGTCTGAGAAAGGGCACTTTCAAAAAAGGGCACTGTCGAAAATATGGGGGGGTGTGCGCCCCTCGCGCCCCCCTTGGATCCGCCTATGACCTACGCCAAGTGTGAACATTCTTGCTCAATTAGAATGAGAGTAATTGTGTTCCAAAGTCTCGACCAATCAAATTACTTATCGCTCTGCTTACCCTGAGCAGAAAATGCTCATTATTGAACTTAGTCAAGGTATTGATGTAATAAAACTATATACCAAATTTCATCACTTTCCCTTAATTAGAACTAAAGTTATCCAAAGCATCAACTAATCAAATTGCTTAATTGTGTTTAACCTACGAAGAAAATGCTCATCTTCGAACACCATGAAGGCACTGACGTAATAAACACCTACACCAAGTTTGAACATTTTACCTCAATTCGAAGGAGAGTTATTGAGTTCCAAAGTCTCGACCAATCAAATTGCTTATCGCTCTGCTTACCCCGAGCTGAAAATGCTCATTATCGAACTTAGTCAAGGTATTGATGTATTGAAACTATACACTAAGTTTCATCACTTTCACTTAATTAGAACTAAAGTTATCGTGTCCCAAAGCATCAACCAATCAAATTGCTTACATCTGCTTAGAAAATTCTGGGGGACAAAATATCAGGTAATATTATAGTAGTTCCTGATTCCAGACCTGCATATAAGGTTTGATTAGATAGGTAGGATTCCCCCTTTGTCAGTGGTGCAGGATGGAGGATAAGGGAAGTATCTAGTCATTTGGATGGGGGAAAAAAAAGGTCATGTGTACACCTTGGCAGTTGGAATTCAATTGCTGTTTGGACAAATTTTTCCTCATAGCACACTGTATGTTGTATGCATGTCTTCATTAGGGAGCTTAGAGCCGAAAAACAAGGCATTAAACCCCTTTCAGCTGAAACATGCAGGGACCATGCTCTGCACAAGAAGGAAAATAACAGTTACTTGTGAAAAAAGCTGTGCCACTGTCCTGAAGAGATAGGCTGTTAGCTACCTGTCCCCTACCCCCGCCTGAGGTGGTCTAGACACAGTGCCAGCCTCGGCACTGTTAAATTTTCGTAGTGTAATTGCCATTCGGTCTGAAAATGGTACTCAGTACGGATTACTGCGCATGCGCCAAATGAACCTTGACCTTTTTCCAATGAACATTGTCAGTTTTGTCATCAGTTCTGTCAAAAAAGCTGCCCAAACGTTGAATAGGGACTGAAATTAACTTTTCTGTGAAGAGTTTCACATTTGGCGTGCCTGGCACAGTTCAGAGATCGGTAATATAAACGGGCCAATTTCTTAACATTTATAGCAGCCTGGTACGTGCGGCCAAGTATAAACCGGGCTATACACTCAGTGCTTAAACATAATTAAAAATTCAACATTTTCAACAAACTGGTATTTATTATCTGTATCTTTCTTACTTCAGGATCAATTCATAATATTTTACACAATAATTAATATAAAGTAACACCATCCATTTATTTCTTTTTTGCACTAGTTTCTTTCTTCTCTCCATCTTTACTCTTCTCATCTTTACCATCCTTTTTATCTTTATCATCTTTCTTTTCTTTCTTCTCCTTATCTTTTGGGTCTTTTCCTTCATTTTTCTCTGCATCCCGGTTTTGTATTTTATTGTTGATCAGATTATGTAAGGCAATGATAGAACGAATAAGGGAAGCAACATACACAACTAACATTTGATCGTTTGTTTTAACATACATGGCTTTAACAAAATCTTGTAGATTAACATCAGGTAGGAGATTAAACACATCTTGAAGCTGATAGATGATCTGATGATTAATGGGAAGTTTACCCGATGAAATATTCTCTAAATAAGAACTAATATCTTTTATATGTCCATGGAGACCCTTTAATCCCATGAGTTGATTTGTTATTCTCTGTGATAAGGTTCCTACAGTTGTATCCTTTATATCTCTGTAAAATATAGATAAAAAAACATTACATATCTATAATACAATCAGTTTCTGTGTTAATCTGACCCGAAAAATAACATAATATCCCTCTGTACATTGTATAATATACAGTAATGCTGATATTTCACACATCAATGTTCACATCCATGCATTCCCAAATTTTCTGTCTAGCAGAAAACTCTGGTATAAATACTGTGAATTCCTCAATTCAGTAAATTAATTGGTCACTTATTTATATCCATCAAGTTCTTACAAGTCTAGAAGTAATTAATGGAAATTGCTGAAATTCAATAGGATTCTTTGTTTCACTAATGGGGGGGTTGGATGGCTGAATGGTTAGCATGTGCGTGCTGTATCTTAATATGTCATTGAGTCAACTGGCGTGGTTTCGAATACCCGGTTGTACAGGGTCGTCTGTCCAACATTGTGGGTTTTCTCCAGGTCCTCCGGTTTCCTACAACTGCTAAAGACCCTACGTGCAAGCGAATTATTGAAATAAAATTGAGCCATGTGTTAGTCCCGAAATGACCGAGTTTGTGTCGAGTGGACGATAAACTCTCTCCCTCTTAACCGCTTGTTTTTTGTCGGCTTTAGGCGCTTGAACTTCAATCAAACCAATTGTTAAAACAATGAACCGACCACTATGGTATCATAAATCAATCTACTTTTGGCTAAATTACAACGGGTTAATTATTACTTGTTAATTAAACATACATTATGCAAGAGCTAAATCTGTCTATTGCAGGTCTTTCTTTAGGCCTGAAATGTTATCTAAATTATTAATTAGACATTAATTAACCTATCCAGACCATAATCAACTCTAGATGGCATTGCTAGCCTGCGATCTTTAGTGGATTCTGAGCTGATTTGCTGCATTACTTTCCTTCACGATTTAATGATTAAATGGATAATCGAGACTTTGCTGTTTATCGTACAGACTTTAGTAATGATGATCAAGGTTAGGCAGAAATTCAATCACTTTGTTCTCGGTTCATAGGGGATCAATTTGAATGAAATTTTCAGCAAATTGCCTTTACATTATCTAGTTTTTAAATATTATAGTGAGAACTGCCAACTCGTTATTGAATCTCCCATAATGTATCTTTAAGTAGTCAATCAACTTGCTTGTAGGCTACAATAACAGTCGGGGGGTTGGATGGCTGAATGGTTAGCACGTGTGCGCTGTATCATAAAGTCTGTCATTGAGTCAACTGGCGTGGTTTCGAATCCCTGGTTGTACGTGACAAGGAGTAGGGTCGTCTGCCCAACCTCATGGGTTTTCTCCGGGTCCTCCGGTTTCCTCCCACTTCTAAAGACCCCTACGCGCAAGCGAATTATTGAAATAAAATTAAACCATATGTTAGTCTCGAAATGACCTAGTTTGTGTCGAGTGGACGTTAAACCCCATTTCTCCAGGGCTCTATAGAAGTTGAATGTGCCTGCGCACACACTTGAAAATGTGCCTGCAGGGTCATACTGAAACAGAGTGAAACACTGGGATGTAGCCAGGATTTGGTGAGTGGTGCAAAAATAATTTTTGGGAGGGGGGCGTGGTCTTTTATGAAAATTAAACCCTTCTTGGTGTATTTTCAGGGCATCTGCTGCCTTTTGTATTTGGTTCAGTGCAAATCAAATTTCCATTTATATATTCAAATTTTACCAAATTCACTTAAATTTCATCAATGATACAGGGATCTAAAAACTTTTTGACACCACCCGACCGAGCATAAAATTGTCCCGCCCCACTCTGTTTCTCTGGATAGATAAGTTGAGGACCTTTCGGTATTTGTTGGTTTTTTTTTCAAATATTACTTTATTACTTTGAGATTAAAAATTAAAACGATTCTTAAAACGGTGTTTGTGTTTTATTTGAGTACAACGAATTATGACAACAGGTGGATATTGATAATTAAAACACGTGGTATTATTTGACTTGTTTGTAAAGTTGTTGTACGTGTCTCACGAATATTATTATTATTACGGTGGAATGAGAATCAGGTCAGGAAGAAACTGAGAAAGCTCTCATCGTCCTCCTAGTCCTACTCTCAGGCTGTAGCAAATCCACGGTCAACACAGGTAAGAAATAAAATAAGAAACATTGTGAAAATTTGCAGGCACGTGTTGGACAATTACGACATTCAAACCTTTAACATTGGAGTGCCGTAAATTGGTCTGGGTGACCTATTTACGGCAAATAAACAAATATAAAGACCGTAGAATAATTGTAAAATGAATAGACCTAGGCCTACACATCTTCTTAGTATAAATAAACAAAATACCAATACATCTTTCTTTAAACTAATTTGGGATGATAGGGTCTACTACGGCACACAAAAATAAATTATGCCTTACAGACATGGTTTGCGTACGTCGGCTTTTACCATGGCTTTGCCGTTTAATTGCCGTGGTAAATTTCGAGCGCCGAGTTTGTGTACAGAGAAGGACGAAGGGGTTTAAATACGACTGGGCGGCTTTCTTCGATTTTTTCTTTGTGCTTGGCGGCAAGTGGCTACATCTTTAAAAATGTGCCTGCAAAAAAGTTTTTTTTAAAGCAAATGTGCCTGCGCACGCCGTGCGCGGAAATATCGATGCCTGCATTTCTTTCTCTCTTTTTTCACAATAACAGTCATACCATAGTGAGAATCGGTCATGTAGTTTATAATCCAAGTAATTAGTACATGTAAGGGTAATTTTGATAATCCGGTAAAAAAACAAAACAAGCCTGGTGATTATTCATAACATCAGGTCCAGTAAGTTGCCTTTGTGGAAATAAGCCATGTGGCGTTGAAGGAAGATGATCTCGGCAACTCGCCCGGGAATTGCTTGTCTTCTACGCTCCGTATGAATTCCAGGTACCGGTAGATATTAAACAAATAATTGGATCATACAATTAATGGTTTCGCTGATCAGTTGTTAAATTTAAATCTTAGTTGAATATAATCCTCAGATAGAACAATGAATAGGCCTACACCAAGAAACAGTTATTAATTATATATTTTTCCAACAGAATCACCAATGCTGAATCCCCTGATGACATGTAACATCGGTTGGAATTACATGTAGGTCAATAAACTAGCGATGTTAGTTTTAGTTTTAAATAGCATTTACCGTTATGATTTTTTCTTTTATTCACATGCTGACACAGGCTTAATTTTGAAAATATTGTCGTTATTGTAAGTTATATGGCATAGTCCTACGGAATTTTACTTTAAAGCAGTTTCAATTATGGTTATCACGAGATCACTCTGCCGTGTGTCCATCATGGACAAATGAATAAAAACATTTTCAAGTTATGTGATAGACAAAAACTACAAATTGTGTTATGAAGAAATACCATGGTGCCATATCAGCTTATATCCATCGAAAAAACGAAGACAGAAATTTATCAGGGATATTACCAACATGAATTTCAAGCTGGTACATGAACTAAATATGGAAAATTTGGTGTACCTTTTTGTCATTATTTTTGTGGTAATTACATACATTAGAATACGACATTCCTCATAACAAATTACCAAGAATTAATTTTGTTGAAGTCTGGTTATATTAAAGGGAATGGAAGCTTATAATTTTAAACACCATTTCGTATCCGGACCTCATTTTACCCAATTCTGGCCGGCTCATTTTAAAATGGATTAAGAACCCTAGCTATAACTCTCACGTAATTAACGAAATTGCTTCTTCATTTCACTAATTTAAATGATGCATATAAATTTCATACAGATTGAATGATAACTTTTGTCGTTTGAGCCTTCACATGGTGCAACAAAGTGAAACAAGGGCTATAACTCCAGAAGGACTTTACGGAAATTATTGAAATTAAATAAACTTCTCCATCTCACTAATGTTAACAACATACATCAATTTCAAAATAATCAGATGATAACTGCAGTCTGTAGAGTGTTTACAAGAAATTTCAGACGACAGATGGACTGACGTTCTGTAGCAACGGCAATACGACAACATTTCCTTGTGGGTGTAGAAATAAAAATGACAAAATTACGTACATCAAACATTGCTGGTTGCCTTATCAACTTTCCGAACTCTGTAGGCCATGAACTAATAACAATAGTCTTTAAAATGATTACTGGTCTAATTTTGACAATATATTGCCCCATATTCTGTTAAGTCCAAACATTTCTATGAACATTCTAAAGTCCATGAACTGTACACCACTGCTAGGGTCAGTTTCAACTTGTGAAAGTGCTGTCTGCACTCTCTATTATCTTCTTGTGGACAGTTCATTTACAAACAGAGATTGATAAAATTTGACAGGGACATTCTTTGGAAGCCTAAGCATTAAAGGAAGAAAATGGCTCATTTGGCTTTCAACAAGCACTATTTCTCAGCCGTTCATGACAAGTGGATAATATTACCTTAGTAAATGCTCTACGCCAACTTCTTCTGCCTCTTCAGCACCAATATCACTTGGTACATGTTCGAATGTTTTACTTGTTGGAGTACCATCCTGAAATTAATAATAATGTATGTATTTAATCTCCCTATTACTGATTAAAACGTGTGGCATTCACTTTAATTTTTTTTAATAATACAGTAGGCCCTACAGTACTAATCTGAATAAAATACAGAGGTATATTTCATTTCAGTTTTTTTATACTTTCGATGGCCTACACTACCCGAAGATCAGACCAGTTGTTTTGGGAGGTTGCATCAGAGGTCATATGAGCGGCTTTTGACCCTATGACATCAGACATTTCATTAACCATTCAACATTGATGTTTCTAGAAGATTACCCACAGTTTAGTGCACCTCAAAGATCGTTTCATTGGCTAATCCCTCACATCATTCAGAACACATCAATGATAACAACTCTTCCAGATCCTAGTGTAGTAGACAAGTAAAACGAAATTTTAAACTATAAAAAAAAACGAAACGAAAAAGGATCTGTGTGGTAATCAGATTGGTACAGTACTGAAAATGAAATGTACATATGACATGTAGAACTAATACAGCAAACTTGTTGCATGATATGGCCAAAATAAAGTGAGGATACTATTATGTAGGATTAGTGATGTCCCATTCTGTATCACATCAACCATTTCACAACATGCACTGATGTTTTCAATATTTTAAAGTGTTAAACTGTAACCTGTTGGAGTACATAACAGATGGACTTGACATAATTAACTTACATCATGAACCTCTTCTACAGCAATATACGCTTCTGTTGGTAATCCCAAATCTTTAGGTTTAGCATCAATTACAACTAAAACCTGAAAAAAAACGTATGATAATGGTAATCCTAATGCAAACCAATTGAACAATCTGTACCTTATTATGCTATTTAAAGTGTACATTTCAAATGTACAGAGAACAGACATTGAATCTTTTTCATTCAGCTTATTATTCACAGACAGATGTTTCATTTCCATAACTGGATGTTAATGTAACGAGCATGTACTTACAGAATTGGGGCAATATCTTCTCATCATTTCATTAATTGTAATATCATTTGGGTGAAGTTTTGGACCTGTATGGTACCAGCCAACAATTTTCTCTTTCGCTGGAAAAGTAAGATGCAGTCAGATTATTCATACATTATTTAAATAATAATTACTTTAGATAAATGATGCCAGTACCAATTACTAAATGTGTCGTGAAGAGTCAGCCCCTTTCAATTCAACATGTGTATCACACAGGAAGGTGAATCGCAATATATCAATACAGCGCTATATCATGCCAGTACTAACTTCAAAGATCTATAAGTTAGTTGTAAGAGGGAGTGTAGATCTATTCTTTGGAACAATAAAATAGATGAAAAGCTCACATTTACTATTGTAATATGAATGTTCATCGTATTTTCTTATCAGGGCAGTTATGCCCAGTGAAATATGTGAGAGTCCAGTCTACAAGTTTATATTTTTTCTGTTTGTAGTTTGTGGATCAGCCATTTTTAATTACTTCTCTGCATTGACCTGTGAAATATGTTTTGCTTTCTTCATTCCACATGGCGCACAAGACCATAAAGAACCCTAAACCGGTAACTGTTTTGTTCACTGTATCTTAAATATTGAATATCAGGAACCCATGTTTTCATGGCTAGATAACAACATCAATGTTGACTGAAATGGACCAATATTGATTTCTAATGCATGCTTTTTTGAAGAGATGATATTGAATTAAACATTGATCATACCGTTTACTTTCTTGAACATGCCATACATGTGTTCTAAATAATCATGGTCCAAAAACCATACCTTTTTATCTCTCTCATCTTCATCGAATGGCACTTAAAATTAAAAAAAATAACAAAGTTCAAAACATTAGCATATATTTTTAAAAGAAACTTTTTACATTGCTGACAATTCATCCTGTCACCGATTTCTTGTTATGTGGATATTTGGTGGCCCTCAACAGATTACATGACATTTTGGTCCTGCAACATTTCAGATAGACGACCTTTCCTCAACGTTTCAGACTTGGGCAGGTGAAATTTCTGACTCAGGAATAAGTTGAACGAAAAGGTTGAACCCAACAGTCAAATCAGTTTATAATAAGCCAAAAACGATTTTATAAACTAACATACAGGTACAATTTACCGATCGTCATCAAGTACAGCATGTGAATTACACACTGTATAGACCTACAGTATAAAGGAACAGAAATATTTCCAATGTTGAATGTTTACGAAAAGAATGTTTCATACAATACATATGCTGTAATGTTCAAACACAAAAGAAAATATTTACACGACATATTACAAGTCCCTACAAATTTTTAAAGACCCAAACTAGGCCATTTTGGGACAAACATATGGTTCAATTTTATTTCAATAATTCGATTCCGCGTAGGGGTTTTTAGCTATGGGAGGAAACCGGAGGACCCATACAACCGGAGAATCGAAACCACGCCAATTGACTCAATGACAGACCTTATGATATATCATGCACACACTGACCATTCGGCCATCCAATGAACCCTCCTGCTTTCAATAGAAGGCAGTAACAATCGATAAATTTGTCTTTCCAGAAAACATCAGAAATGGCAATGCTGCAATGATCAAAGGGGGATAATTAAAGCTGATTAACTGATAATCCTGATGTTATCGTTTTATGTGCAAAGAAATCTTACGGTTCTTTGGTGGATGAGGAAAAACATGAATTGTCATTCATCATTTATCGAGGCTTTGTGTTGATTGCAATTATTCTGTTTCACTTAAAAGACATTTGTAACCTGTGCCAACTAAGTCAGCAGGGCTCTATAAAAGTTGAGTGTGCCTGCAGGGTCATACTGAAACACAGGGATGTAGCCATGATTTGGTGAGTGGTGTAAAAATATATGTGGCGAGCGGAGCGATCCCAAAAAATTTTTGGGAGGGGGGCATGGTCTTTTATGAAAATTAAACCCTTCTTGGTGTATTTTCAGAGCATCTGCTGCCTTTTGTATTTGGTTCAGTGCAAATCAAATTTCCATTTATATATTCAAATTTTACCAAATTCACTTAATTTTCATCAATGATACAGGGATCTAAAAACTTTTTGACACCACTCGACCGAGCATAAAATTGTCCCGCCCCACTCTGTTTCTCTGGATAGATAAGTTGAGGACCTTTCGGCATTTGTTGTTTTGTTGGGGTTTTTTTTTCAAATATTACTTTATTACTTTTATTTGAGTACAACGAACTATGACAACAGGTAGATATTGATAATTAAAACATGTTGTATTATTTGACTTGTTTGTAAAGTTGTTGTACGTGTCTCACGAATATTATTATTATGAGAATCAGGTCAGACAGAAACTGAGAAAGCTCTCATCGTCCTCCGAGTCCTACTCTCGGGCCTTAGCAAATCCACGGTCAACACGAGTAAGAAATAAAATAAGAAACGTCGTGAAAATTTGCAGTCATGTGTTGGACAATTACGACATTCAAACCTTTAACATTGGAGTGCCGTAAATTGGTCTGGGTGACCTATTTACGGCAAATAAACAAATATAAAGACCGTAGAATAACTGTAAAATGAATAGACCTAGGCCTACACATCTTCTAAGTCTAAATAAACAAAATACCAATACATCTTTCTTTAAACTAATTTGGGATGATAGGGTCTACTACGGCACACAAAAAAAATTATGCCGTGACAGACATGGTTTACGTACGTACGTCGGCTTTTACCATGGCTTTGCCGTTTTTGCCGTGGTAAATTTCGCGCGCCGAGTTTGTGTACAGAGAAGGACGAAGGGGTTTAAATACGACTGGGCGGCTTTCTTCGATTTTTTCTTTGTGCTGGGCGCCAAAAAATAGTGCCGGGCGCAGGCGCCGCCCGGCGTGGCTACATCTTTAAAAATGTGCCTGCAAAAATCTTTTTGAAATGATTGTGCCTGCGCACGCTGTGCGCATGTGCGCGGAAATATCGATGCCTGTAAGTCAGTCACTTCACCAAAATTGAGTTCTATACTCTATACATTTCCTGAAAGCCACAACTGTTGGCTTTAAAATGCAACAAAAATTGCTGTTCAGACATTAATGGTTGTAAAATTATTTGACATGAAATAGATCACTAATTTCGATTGTTTAATGGAGAATTTTGCTCATGTATGATTCAACATCCCTTTAATCAAAATCAATTTTTGAGACATTTAGAGTTCGAAAAATTAAAAATGACTTAGAATTCTGAAAGAAAACATTTCAAACTTTTGTTCCATGATGATAACTGAAAATCAATAATTTCACCATTGACTGCTTTACATGTAACAGTATAGACTATAGCGCATAATGAATGAAAAGTCGTTAAGTACGAAAAGTTGTCAGACTGAATCTGAAATCGCGGAACTTAATGTCGTGCTACCCCTTGGCAGACTCATTTGATTCATCATAGATACTAAGATAAAGATAGGTCATTATAAATAATTTTACAAAATTCCTTTTTTTACTATATAGGCCTAGAGCAAAGCTCTAAAGCATTGCGCAAAGCACGGTGCTTAAGTAAAGCTCTTTTCTGGTAGCACAGGAGCGCAACTAAAACTGTCACCCACAGACTGATGATTAAAAAAAAATTTCATACCAGACCCGGATACATTGCCGTCACTGGGCAAAACAGGCAATGCGCATGTCAACAGAGTTATCTCCCCTCTATCAAATCTCGTCGAATAAATGACGTCACATTATGACGTCAATGAAAATAATAATCACACTCTTTAGTTCTTTTTTTTAAAAAACAAAATTACTCGGTAATTTATCTAATACTCTCATAGTCTAGATCTACTACCTAGTAGTACTAATTTAAATTTAAATTAAAATCAATTTGGTAAAAGAAAAAATTATTTAACATATTTTGCATCACTTGAGAAAATTAATTATGAAGGTTTTTATAGCCTATTTGACAACAATCAGTTTCGCTCTTCTCAGTCAATGCCTATTACATTTTATATACCTGCAAAGCTGTTTGACACATCTAAAACTCCGGCTCTATTTGATCCAAGCAGACACCCAACCACGCGTTTCATATTCCCAACTTTACCCATTCTATTAAAATGGTCTACTACACTCAATAAGACCAGTGGATGGACCACTACTTTTTGAATCTTTGAGGGGTCGGTAACAGGCATTGTTATTTTAATATAATTCCAAATACTTCGTTTCTGTTTTAAAAGAAAGAAGAAAGATGACTTCACAAAATCCAAAACAACATGGAAGCCGACGGATATCCGGCAGATTACGGAAGTAATGCCAATCTTTATTTTACTACTTTATTCATGTAGTCTCCTTAGTTTAATCCTCTTTGATTTAATGTTTATGATTGTGTTTAGTAATCAATTATGTATCCGTTTAATATTACAAATACTTATAACTTATGCACGACCATTCTTTTTATCGCCAGGCCTATATGTACGCGCACTTAGTACTTACATGCCATGTGTTGTTCGGCCCACATTTGTTTACAATCGCTATGGAGCATCCAGAAAAGAACTTCAGAAGGAACAGTTGAGAACCGAGTACTTAATTAGTACTTGATAACAAAATACCTCTTATCTTTGCGTTAGTTTTACGCTTTTATATCAATATATGTTGTTAATATGGATAAAGCAATCAATACAAAAGTTTCAAAAGAACTAGTGAATGAGCAAAATGAAAGATTGTCCTCAAAACATATCCAGACCTTGTCATTCTTACAAGAATTAGCTGAAGAAAATAAACGGTTAAAAGTTCGAGTTGAAGAGCTTGAGGTTAATAAGTAAATAGATCTCCTAAACTATTGGTTTTTTTCTGGAATTATACCACACACAAAAAAAATGTATTCAAAATAATAATGGGTAATGGCCCAGAGCAGGGCTGGGCCCATTACATTGCCAATGTAATTTTAAAATTAAATTACCAAACCATTACTTTTTAAATCTAATCATTACAATTACTTTCTCATTTTTAGCAATGTAGTTAATTACCATTACCCATTACATTGAAAGTAATTAATTACCATTATCCATTATGTACTTTATGAGTACTGGTATATAAATCAAAACGGTATAGAGACAACTCATCCCAAGACAACTCACCAGAAGACAACTCATCCCAATATAAGACAACTCATTCCAAGTTAGAAGACAATTCATCCCAAGATAAAAGACAACTCATCCCAACTTTTAAACATGGGTTGAGACATACGACAACTCATCCCAACAAATATAATATAAGTGCTAGTTATATTTGTTTTAATACAATTGCTTTCATCGAAGACTACTCAGACCATCTGATTTTGTTATAAAAATGTGTTATTTTAATCAAATTGATATTGTTGTTTTGATAAATTGATGGTTGTGTTTCACTGTTTGTATTAATGTTTTAACTTACTTTGTTGTGTGAACAGGTTGTTAGTTGTGTTTGGGGTTTTTATTTCATCATGAAGCACTCCAAAGAAAGTCAATTAACAAAACATCGATTAACTAAACTGATTAGTAGTACTCATACATGGTTGTGGAGAAACTAAGTTGGGATGAGTTGTCTTCTAATTTGGGATGAGTTGTCTTCTAACTTGGGATGAGTTCTAACTTGGGATGAGTTGTCTTCTAACTTGGGATGAGTTGCCTTCAGATGAGTTGTCTTTGGGATGAGTTGTCAGGTATTCATAAAAACGCTGTGGCTAGTCTTACGACGAGGCGTAAGAATTATTGATGGACTATTCTTAAGACATGGTGGAAGTTCCGGCAGCGCATGCGCAAGTTACACAATGTTGGACTTGTATTATTTTGCAGTTTGCAAGAGGGGATGTCGTAAGAATAGCCAAGGTGAAATAAAAAACATTTTTCATAGAAATTAAAAAGACAACCTTACTTTCTGCCATGAAGCGCCTACAAAAACCAAACACAAAATAATCCTTGATTCACAATAATAGATATTTGTGTATGAATTATTATTTCTATATATTAATAAAAATTATAACATCAAGGCAAATTTTCAAGTGACGGGTAGTGGTGACAAAAACTGTGTTTCCTGAGTTTTCATTGTATGACTTGAAAATGAATTGAACGTCTAGTTAAACATACATTATGTAAGATTTAGATAAAGAGCTGATCTTTCTTGCTATAATAGCTCAAAAATAGATGATGTAAAATAAAAATATTGAAAATTTCATTTAAATTACTTCATTCCGAGCCAAGTTATTACTGTTTGTAGTTTAGACAAGATGTGTGCATTGTGTTAACCAGTGCACTGGTATATTTGAGACTTAGCCTCGCTTTCCCATTTTTTAATTGAATTTTTAAATGGCGAACCGTTCTAATCTAGTTAAAATCTTGACTATCCGATGCCATCGAGAGTTGATTATGGTCTTGTTTTGTTAATAAATGTCTACTTAATAGTTTATATAATATTTCAATCCTAAAGAAAGACCGCCAAAAAGGCAGATTTAGCTCTTGCATAATGTATGTTTAATTAACCATGTTTTTTAAAGAAAGTAATTTTATAAAATTCTTAATCAATCCAAATATACTAAGCAGCAAAAGAAACATCAGGTTGGTATGTTACTCTAAATAGACGCATTGCATAAAACTTGCCAAATGTTTTTATTGTATATTTGTGACCACATCTCTAACTTAACCTGAGTAATAAGGCTCCTTCCCAAACACAAAATTGAACCCAGGAAATGTTCTCGCAAATGCAACCTGACTTCTGAGATAATAATGTGTTCTCCATGATTTTCATGTAACTCATGCTGCACGTGCTGTTCACCGGGACCAGCCCTATAAAATGCACCCCCGTACCTAGCTGAATCATTCACACTACAACGTCTGCAGCATGCCACGACTCATGACAGCTCAGAGGAACCAGGCGCTTGGAAGACTTGACGCTGGCCACACTGCCCAAGCCGTTGCCAATCACTACAGGCTTCAGCAACGCTTTCGAGCCACCAGCACCTCAGATGATTGCCCCCGAACTAGTAGACCAAGGGTTACCAGAAGGCGACAAGACCGCCTTGTTGTGCGTCAGCATGTGCAGAATCCCTTCACACAGGCATCTGAGACAGCACATCAGACAGTGGAAACACACGGAAGACCCATCAGTTCCTATACAGTGCGCCGACATCTCACCAGAGAGAGCATCCATTGCCTTAGACCTTACTGTGGACCGATCCTCACCCCTCGCGATCGACATGAACATCTACAGTTTGCCCAACAACACCAGAACTGGCGATACAGGCAATGGAGAACTGTTCTGTTCACAGATGAGAGTCAGTATTGCGTATCAACTGCAGATGACAGGACCAGAATATGGCGTCAACAGCGTTATTCTGACCAATGTGTCATGGAACGAGACACATGGGGAGGTCCAAGCATAATGGTTTAGGAATCGGCCTGAACCAGAGAGTGGGTCCTGTGGTGTTCCAAAATCTTGGTCCAGGGAAAGGAGGCGGCATCACAGCAGTGCGCTACATCGATCAAGCTCTCAGACCCCACGTCATACCACATTTCGTATGTCATCGAAACAACGTTTTCCAGCATGACAACACCCGTGCCCACACTGCCAGAGTTACTCGGGACTTTCTACAGCAGAACAGTGTCAACGTTGTGCACTGGCCAGTTCATAAATAACATCATACCAAGACCAAATACGGCGGATGGATTGCGCCAGGCTTTTCTGAGAGTGTGGTTCCAGGTGCCAATGGCGTTCATCAATCGTCTAGTCCGCTGCTGTTATTGACTCACCAGATACTGATATAGACTCTGTACAGACTCTAAACCTTCTCATATTGTCTTGAAATTGTGATGAATTAATCACTAATGTGTCAACATACTGTTCACAAAAGATTGCTTTGATCCATTTAGTAAGTCGTTTTCTAGAATGATTTGATTAAAGTTCCTCTCTGATTTTGAAATCGTACTGATGTTCTTTTGGCTGTTAGTATAGTTTGTCTTTAATAATTGTATTACTGATGAATTATTCAGCATGATTTAAAGACTAAATATACTATTCAAAAAAAGTAGGGGATATTTGATTTCGGGGGCATAATACTAAAATATGCAAATGACTACGAAAAAAGTCACTATAGAACCTAACAGAAGAAACATTTCCAGTTACATGTGACGCCCAAACGCACCAATAGCTACCGCATGGAATGCAGGTGATGCTTGGGATCATCATGGGGGTCCAACCCAAGATTTGCACGACTCTGACTTTGAATGTTACAGTCATTGTGGCATTGAATTCCAGGGTGGAAACATCAGTTTAATTGTTTTAGTGACCAGAAAACAAATTTTGATATGCGTCGGCTTACCCAAAATGAAAGGTTACGTGCCCTTGGCATGCTACAGATCGGCACAACACAGGCGGTTGTGGCGCGGACGATGAATGTTTCTCAGTCTGTCATAAGCAGGCTATGGTCCAGATACCGTGATACACAATCTGTACAGGACAGACCACGCTCAGGTCGACCAAGGGCGACAACTCAAGCCCAGGACCGATTTATCCGTACCTTGGCCTTGAGAAATCGTGTCATCACAGCAAATCAGATCAGCGCTCGTCTTCAAACAGACACTGGTGTGAGAGTGAGTGGCCAGACGATTCGGAATCGACTGCATAGGGGTCACCTTCGCGCCCGACGTCCTCGCGTGATCCCTTGTTTGAGAGATCATCACATTCAGGCAAGACGTCGTTGGTGTAGGGATCGTCAACACTGGGATAATCGACGCTGGAGCAATGTGATGTTTTCAGATGAGTCAAGGTTCACTGTTGATTTTTTGGACAGATGTAGGAGGGTGTGGCGTCGTCGAAACGAGCGCTTCCAAGACGTTAACGTCATCATACATGATCGATTTGGGGGTGGTTCTGTTATGGTGTGGGGAGGCATCACTGTTGCTGGAAGAACGGCTTTACATGTTGTTGCAGGGCGTGTTACAGGCCAGTACTACCGGGACAACATCTTGGCAGTCCATGTTGTGCCGTTCGCACGACGTCATGGCCGCCGTTTCATCTTCCAGGATGACAACGCAAGATGTCACAGGGCCAGGATCGTTACAGGTTACCTCCAACAACAGAACATCACCACATTACCTTGGCCAGCACTGAGTCCCGACCTCTCCCCCATCGAGCATGTCTGGGACATGCTTGGACAGAGGTTACGTCAACGTCAACAACGTCCTGCCAATGTCCAAGAACTTGCTGCTGCGTTGCAACAGGAATGGGACAATCTGGACCAAAATGACCTTAGACGTCTCATTAGGAGTATGCCACGTCGGATCAATGCTTGTTTGGCAAACAGAGGAGGATTTACCCGTTACTGACTTAGTTGTGATGCTGTGGTAACTTTGCTGTTTGACCCCGGGTATCATTTTACCCTTATAATGGTCAGTCTGTACCTTACTTAGTCTAACGATCATTTGGAATAAATCGATGAATGTAAACTTCATTTCATTTTGTCATTTGTTTCTTCGTCAGTTTCATTAGGTGACTTTAATAACACTTAAAAATCAAATATCCCCTACTTTTTTTGAATAGTATATATGTACTCTTCAAAAAATGAAATGCATAGCCCATTTTTCATCAATTCTTTTCATGTGGACGTGTTATGCTGTCGCCCCCGTCCATCCATCACTCTACCGGTCACAGTTTTTATCCAACTTTGACGAAACTTGAAATTTAGGGTCTATCTCCCAAAGATCCCGGTTCCTTTCGATATTGGCATGTATCAGATCGAAACTTCATGGATTATGGCCCCTGATTTTACGAAAAATCACGTTCTTAGCTTGTGTACACTCTAGAGGTCACAATTTTTATCTGATTTTGATGAAACTTGAAATGCATGTTAATAACCTAATAATCTTGGTTCCTTTCGATATTTGCGCATAGCCGAATTAATTTTAATCAGATTGGTATAAACTTGCCATAAAGCGGATATAGTAACCATTGGCTATACGTCGAAAAGTAATGTTGTCGATCTTATGTGCCCTTTAATAAAAACATGGTAATGCACAGACTTTTTCTATTGTTTTCGTTTTTTCTTATCTAGTGACAGTCAATTTATTTTATAAATTGTAGATATCATCTCACAATTTCATATAACAATTCGTAGGAATTATCAGTGTGCAGAAATTCGTCCGTGTATGTGTTATCGCTTGTTACTTCAGTCAGTTACATAAAAGGATAACTTGTGTTTTCCTTTTGTCTTCGTCACTTTCGTTTCTTGAAATCTACTTTACGCATCTATTGTAGCAATGATCTCTGGCTTAAAATTATAATTGGAACATGTTTAACCAGTTCTATGGCTGACACCAATATTGTCCTTTAAGAAGAAACTCACAAGGAAATATGTGTAACTAACTGACATCTACAATTTCATATTGTAATGTTATTTACAAGCTGTGCGATATATCAACATCAATTATCAAAGCCAAAGGTAAAATTAATACTTAAGAAAGCATGTCTTCTGTCTAGTTTTACAGTACTGCAGATATTTTTATTTTATTCTGTTTTATGTTTAACATTGAGACTTTATGGGCTTAGTATTGGTCATCCAGAACCTCCTAGTCTTCAATGTACGAAGGTCTGGGAGCGTTGTCAATATTTGACGAAAAGTCCATTGACCATGCGTAACCGGGAATTTGGTTTTTAATGTGGTTGATTATTCAGTGTCTTTGGCCAAGTCAAGTAAGAGTTTCGCCCCTTTCTGCAATAAATCCCATAACTCTTGCATTAATATAAACGTGAATCGTGACAACAAATTAGGATTAATTTAAAAACATAGATATGGCCCATGTAGAGAGAAATTTTACAATAAAAAAAATTAAGAGTTTTGGATATTGAACTGGCAATGCCATCAAATGGATTTTTTGAAATGGCATTCTTAAATTAATTTCATGGGCGTCAACATCTTGTTTTAGGACTAGTTACCTCCCTTAGACTTTGTTTATGATAATGTAAAAGACCAGATAATCTAGCCAATGACCTATTATTCTCAAATGTTGACAAAGCATCCAAACTAATATTCATAGAATATTTTTCTGGATTATAGAGACTATTATGGGCTTGTACATGTAGCGTAATGTAGTGTCACACTAAATCTGTTCAATATTTACAGGGGATCACAATGGCTAAGTGGGTAAGACACTGGCTCGCTGGCCTGGAGGTCGGGTGTTCGATACAGGACATAGGGCCTGACAAGGACAGCTGTCTAGCCGTTCGAATGGGACGGAAAACCAAGAACCCGTGTACATATTGGCGTGCACGTAAAAGATCCCTTGGCAGTTGGAATTCGATATAAGAGTAGGCCGTAGCACCACTGCCCGGGCAAAATTTCCCTCATAGCACACTGTATGGCGTATGCCTGTCTTCATTAGCACATTTTAGGAGCAGAACAGTAGGACGTTAAACCCCATTTCATTTCATTTCATTTCAATATTTACATAAACACTTTAGTCCTACCCTTGCGCAGTGGAATACATCACATATGTAACCTACCTGCTATGACACTATAGCCTTAGTGAAAATGTTACATCACTTCAGAACTTCAATTATTCCTTATTGTGCTATACATGTTCATTCGATCCATCATCACATCAAATATCATTTTTTTGTTACATCGCATGCTTTATCCACTGTCGATATATTTCATGTACAATGTAGGATACAGTACTAAACAAAATAAGCTTACGGTACTCATAGTTACAAATACACATAGAAAGTATAAATCAATTTTTTTCAGTAAATAAGGCTTTTATAACTTTTTTATAATAATATGCAGATGGAATACCTCAAACCTCAATTTATTTTTTCTAGGCTGAACAATTACAGTGTGATGAATTTCATACACTGGAATATGAGAGCCGTGAGAGAATGAAGGAATTACAAGAACAATATTTACAAAGGGCAGATGAAATAAGTGCAGAACTTACAGAAAAACACAATGCTGAGGTTAGACTAAAATGTAAAATATGTCCTTAAAAAAAAAGAAACACATATAGTCTTGAAAAGATAAAATACAATGTGGATCCAGAAGTTATTAAACACATAATTAATATATCCATTAAAAGACTTGATGGTCTTTACCCAAGGGTGATGGAGAACTGTTTATCCCAACCCACAAGCTTCCTATGATGATAAGTCTGTCAGTGCAACAGTTACAGGGTTAAATTCTACTTGTAACAAATTAGCAATCATAGCAAAATAACGTGTCAAAAACAATCTTAAACAAGAAAAACATAAGTTTATATTACACTAGTGATATATACAGTTTAGTCAAAATTGGTCAAATATTAATCTCAAATTTAAACTTATGTTACCAGATTTTAATTGTTTTCTATTCGCAGATGGTGAGACTTGCTGGAGAAAAACTTGATCAAGAGAAGTATTATCTAGATGAAATCGTCAAGGTAATAAACAAAGTATTGAAAAAAATCAATTTAAAAAATATAATTCCTGATTAAGAAAATGCAACATTCTGAGATTGTGTATAGATATAATCACTTTACATGTAATTGTCAACATTTGGGAAATATTCCCCTTTTTATACGCCCACATTGAAATGTGGTCGTATATTGTCGTTGCACCTGTCCGTCGGTCCAGATTGTGGACGCTCTGGAGGCTAAAGTTAATATCCAATTGATATTCAACAATTTCCGATGACTACTGCCAGAGTTATGGCCCTTGATCACTTTGAAATATCTTGTGGACACTGTAGAGGCTAAAGTTAAAAATACGTTCCCAGAAACGTATTTATCGGGTGGTTATTTCCAATAAAAGTATGGCAATTTTGGTATATATGAAAAGTAGAAATATCCAATCTTACTAGAAAAATACTGGATTCCCTGACAAACACTCATGGAGTGCATGCAGGACAAAAATGTAAGGGTTTCCCTAATCGACAGCCCGACAATTAGGAATGTACTGCGCGTATGACGTCATAGGTTGCACACAGAGATTGAGCGCTTGATGTACATGTTGATAAACTTTATGAAGAGTTAGACGTACAACACTTTTTGAGATAAAAATCATGGAAAAAGACGTGGGCAGTGGATAATCCGAGAATTTAATTAGGCTTCGATATTTATGATAAATGGATAGCGATTAAAAACAACATCGTCTTGTGTATGCAATGAATTCTCCTCCGACTTCGCACCCTTTGCCAGGTAGTTTGTCAGCGAAGTCACGTGACACAAACATGGCCTCTTTTAATAGATTTTTTATAGCGGGGGTATTCCCTCGCGTAAACAGTGTTTTGAGAAGGATTTGAAGCAATTAATTAGTTTGAATATGTTTTTAGTCCAAATACATCATCAAATCACACAGTTTGTATACGGGAATGTATCTTTAATATCCGATTGATCTAAAATTATACACATTGTTTAAGGTTATGAGACAAAGAAAGAATCCTATTGATTTTCAACAATTTCCAATAATTACTGCCAGAGTTATGGCCCTTGATCACTTTGAAAAATCTTGTGGACGCTCTAGAGGCTTAAGTTAATATGGTCATAAGACGAAGAAGCCTAATGATTTTTAGCGATTTCCGATAATTACTGCCAGAGTTATGACCCTTGATCTCTTTGAAATATCTTGTTGACGCTCAAGAGGCTATTCCCCGGTTGTACGTGGCAAGGAGTAGGGTCGCCTGTCCATCCTCATTGGTTTTTTCAGGGTTCTCTAGTTTCTTCCCCCTGCTAAAGATCCCTACTTGCACAAATGAAGAATTGAAATAAAATTGAACCATGTGTTAGTCCCGAAATGACGTAGTTTGGGTCAAGTGGACGTTAAACCCCATTTCTCACTCTCACTCTCGCTAAAGTTAATATACACAGTGTTTAAGGTCATAAGATGCAGAAGCCTATTGATTTTCAACGATTTCCAATAATCACTACCAGAGTTATGGCACTTGATCACTTTGAAATATCTTGTGGATGCTCTAGAGGCTAAAGTTAATATCCGATTGACTTTAAATTTATACACAGTGTTTAAGGTTATGAGATGAAGAAGTATATTGATTTTCAGCAATTTCTGATAGTTACTACCAGAGTTAAGGCCCTTGATCACTTTGAAAATCTTGTGGATGCTCTAGAGGCTAAAGTTAATATAAATTAACACAAGGTACAATTTTATGGATACACAGTTATTGAGTTTAATACTAAGCGACATTTCAACGAGGATACACTCGTCTTTATCAAGCAAATGAGACAGGTATGTGAATAGTAGGCATATATATACAGAATATGCAACAAAAATAACAATCAAATATAATTAAAACTTAATACCTTTGATTACAGGGCTACATTGTATTTACAATTGAACCTACATAGAAGAAACTCTTACAGGGATCAAAGGGGGGGAGGGGGATCCTATTATTTATAAAGATCAATGTATTAACACTATTAATATGAAACCAAGTAATCTGAGTTATAGGTAAACAATAATTTAAACAGAAGTGTGTATGTATGGGGGTATGAGTGAACAAGAGTGATCGCTGATGCAAGGGAAATAAAAAATACATTATGTCAATAAACAGAAAATCATGAAAGATAAAACCTCTTATTAGACTATAAAAACTGGATGAGGGAAACCATAAATATATTAATTCAATAAACTGAAAATCAAGAAATGTGAAATATATTATCAGACTGTAAAACTTGATGAGTACTGAAAACCAAGATATGTAAAATGTATAATTAGACTGTGAAAAAACTGGATAAGCACTGAAATAGAACAAAAGTATTGGAATCAATGTATAAGTTCGTCATAAGCTCCTGAACAAGAGTGATCGCTGATGCAAGGTAAACCATGGCAATAAATGTATTAATTCAATAAGCTGGAAATCATGAAAGGTAAAACCTATTATTAGACTATAATCCTGGACGAGGGAAACCAGAAATATATTAATTCAATAAACTGAAAATCAAGAAATGTGAAATATATTATCAGACAGTACTGAAAACCAAGATATGTAAAATGTATAATTATACTGTAAAACTGGATAAGCACTGAAATGTATTAATTCAATAAGCTGAAAATCATGAAAGATGAAACCTGTTATTAGACTATAAACCTGGACGAACGAAACCGTAAAGAGATTACTTCAATAAACTGAAAGTCAACAAATGTGAAATGTATTATCACTGATAATTACCTAATCAATCCAGCGTATTATCAACGATAATCGGGTTGAGTGGTAGTTATACACTCAGTAAATTATATTAATTTTGGAATTTTGAATATTATTCATTATGTCTTGATGTTAGATTGGGCATATTCCCGGGCAGACAATTTTGGGCGTTTGGAAAATAGCGTCGGACAAGTCCGGAATATACAGGCGAAATCCCATCCCTGATTATCAGGTGTAAAACTGGATAAGTACTGAAAATCAAGATAAGTAAAAATGTTCTAATTAGACTGTAAAAACTGTATAAGCACTGAAATAGAACATAAGTATTGGAATCTATGTTGTTTGTGGTGTCTATATATTGTGTCCTGTTCGTAGGTTTGTCTTGTGTATTTGTTTGTGTGTGGTTCAGGGATTAGATTTCGCCCGTATATTACGGAATTGTCCGACGTTCTTTTCCAAACGCCCAAAATTGTCCAACTGGGAATATGCCCATTCGGACACCAAGACATGGTGAATAATATTCAAAATTCCAAAATTAATATAGTTTACTGAGTGTATAACTAACACTCAACCCGATTATCGTTGGTAACACGCTGGATTGATTAGGTAATTAAGTGATCAACGTATTTATCATGTTATACCGCCAAACACCTACCTTGATTAACTACTTAATCTGCCTTAATCCTTTATCGGACAATTCTTCAATCCAATCCTGAACAGAAGTCATTGCTTCTCCTTTGTCGGGATATGTATCAATCCAATAAGAAAGATTATAAACTTAAGCTACGTGATTGACCCATGATTTCTATAGTGTCGGATGTTTTAATCTCCTTGATGTCAGCCGACAGCACGTAGAAATTAGTCACTTATGTCACATATCCCTGCACTTACTAATAACAATGGTTTAAGTATCTCAAACTAGTGTATTACTGTATTTACCAATTACAGTGTATTTTATTTTCCAGTCACATTAACAGGTCACTCAATAAAAAAATTTGAAATGAGCAATGTAAATGAGTTAAGGTAACTCATATGAACTGTTGTGGTGGTCATTTTTAGCTAAAATGTTCAGACAATATGGATAGGCGAGTTCTTTACATTTTGATGTCTGTATTGCATACTTGATAACAAACCAGTTTTTGGCGACCCACTGAAATTTAAATTTTTAAACATATAGCAGTTTATATTTAATATTTTAGATGCGAGATGAAATTGATGAATTAGAAAAGATGAACAAATCTTTATTAAGTAAAAATCAAGATCTTGATCATGCTGACGATCAATTACCAGTAAGTTTAATGCTAATCTTTTTATACGCCCACATGGAAATGTGGACGTTTATTGCTGTCCGTCTGTCGTCCACAATTTCTTGTGAATGCTCTAACACCAAAAGTTATCATCTGATTGTTTTAAAATTGATATATGTTGTTTACATTAGTAAGACAAAGAATCCTATTTAATTTCAATAATTTCTCTTAGAGTTATGTCCCTTGTTTCACTTTGTTGCACCTTGTGAACGCTCTAACGTCAAAAGTTATGATCCGATCTTTGTGGAATTTATATGCATTATTTAAATTAGTGAATCGAAAAAGTCTATTGAATTTAAGCAATTTCCGTTAATTACTTCTAGAGTTATGGCCCTTGTGAACGCTCTAACATCTAAAATTATCTGCCAATCTGGATGAAATTTATATGCGTCATTTAAATTAGTAAAAGAAGAATCCTATTGAATTTTCTTTATTATGTCTAGAGTTATGGCCCTTGTTTCACTTTGTTGAACCTTTTAACGCCAAAGGTTATCATCGATCTTTGTGAAATTTATATGCATCATTTAAATTAGTGAAATGAAGAAGTCTATTGAATTTCAGCAATTTCTGTTAATTACGTCTAGAGTTATGGTCCTTGTTTCACTTTGTTCAACCTTGTCAATGCTTGACCGACAATTGCTATCATTCTATCTGTATGAAATTTATATCCATCATTTAGATTAGTGAAACAAAGAAGTCTTATTTAATTTCAACAATTTCCATCAATTACTTCTAGATTTATGGCTCTTGTTTTACATTGTGAACGTTGGAATGACAAAAGTTATCATCAGATCTTTCTGAAATTTATATGCATTCTTTAAATTAGTGAAATAAAAAAGCCTGTCAAATTTCAACAATTTCTGTAAATTACTAACAGAGTTAAGGCCCTGGTTTGAATTTGTTTAACCATGTGAACCCTCAAATGATGAAAATTATAGTCTTGTGAATGCCCCCAATTACCTACAAAAGAATAAATATGCAACAACCCTTGTCAACTGCTCGGACAATTAAGCTGCTGTGAGCGTATGTTTCATTGCCTGGCAACCTATCTTTTTTATACGCCCACTATTTTATGTGCAATAATTAATAGAATACAATATCAAAAAAACATCGTTTTATCCAACGTTTCGTCAGTAAAAATACTAACTTCTTCAGGGATGAAGAACTAAATCAGTTTTTTGATATTGTATTCTATTAATTATTGTATATCAATTTATCTGAGTATCAAATGCATCATTTTGACTTAGTGAAAATTATCCGATTTAAAAAAATGTTTAAATATTTTACCGTTACACGGTAATGATGGTTGCAGGGAATATGATAAGCGGTATCACATCGTAGTTTGCTAAACAAAAACGACGTAAGTGCGAATCAAATATTAATTTGATTAGCAGAAAGTTATAAAATTTAAGGGAATCTACGAATCAAGTTTCTTGTCCTAAATTAAGCGTGAAAAAATGTTGAACAAACGTGATTTACCGTTCCACTGCGTACAGACATTTTAATCCCTTTGATGTCGGTCGACGAGATTAAAAGTAGTCAAAGATTAGTCAATAAACTAATTGTAAGCTGACCTTTTAACAATCTGATCTAACTAAGTAATTAGTACAGACGTTAAATTTTATAGTCCCGTAAATATACAAGCTTGATAATTATTCACAAAACAATAATTTTTATCTGTAACCATTTCCCTTTGTAAGAATTGACCACGTGTTCCCATCTGGCATCCCATTTGCCATCACACATTTTAACCATTTTTCATTCGCTGAACAATAAAATATTCCGTAGGCTATAATCATTCGAAAAATATATCCACCCGAATCCCGCATTGTTATTAGCTACACACACCAGTTTAATTTTTATTCGTTTAACAAACTACTTTGTGACTAAAATGGCACTTGGTTCATTTTGGCGGGAAAAAGGTCACATGGACAAATAACGACAACGTGACAACAAAGCACACATTGCATATGGGTGTCGATGCTACAATGTAATTTTAAAATACCATTTTGTAATGAAAACAATCAATGTTTCGACAGATATTTTGCTTTCATTTTCTGCCATGTAAATGAAGACACATAATTTTGGAGGAATATTACTGGCGTAAATTTGAAGCAAGTAGCATACGTACTGGTCGATAGTCTTTCACTCTATCGTATTACGAAAACACCTAAATTTCTAGGAATATTAAGGACGTAAATTTGAATACTCTACGGCAATTGCATATAAAAAATAGCAAGGTGTGCCTATTTATTTGTATTCAGAACACGATATGCTACATTGGCTAACATAAACTATTCGTAGTTTAAGTCTATTAAAGGCGATGAAAGCCTCCCATACACACAGAAAACAGGAACATTAATTGTAGGCCATACAGATAGAAATTATGGCCTACAGAAATCGTTCAATACGATACCATGAAAAAATAATTATTTGCTATTCAATCAAGAGGAACTGCTGATCAATTTTCAGATTGATTAGCACTTTTTTTTTTTAAAACATCTAATAACTGCTAATCAATTTATTTTTCTTATCATATACCCTGGATGGTTGAGTTCGAATTTCGTGAAAATCGGACCAAAACTGCCGAAAAAAATGGACACCCATCGTACGCTAATAGTTTAAAAATATGGTATATCAAGGTTGTGGACCCTTTAGAGATCACAATTTTTATCCGATTTTGATGAAACTTGAAATACATGTTTACTCGTTCCTTTCAATATTCGCGCATATAGGATCGTAACTACCTAAATTATGGCCCTCGATTGTATGAAAAATCGCATTTTAAGCTTCTGGTCCTAGGGGTAACAATTTTTATCGAATTTAAAAAAACGTTTGAATATATCACTGTTACACCCTAATATTGGTTGAGTTCGAATTTTATGAAAATCGGACGAAAACTGCTAGAGGTCACAATTTTGATCCGATTTTGATGAAACTTGAAATACATGTTAATAACCCAAAGATCTTGGTTGCTTTCTATATCGTCTCGTAACTTCCTGAATTATGGCTCCTGATTGTACGAAAATTCGTGTTTTTAGCTTGTGGTCCCTCTAGAGGTCACAATTATTATCTGATTTACAAAAACGTTCGAATATATCACTTTTACACCGTAATGTTAGATGAGTTCGAATTTTGTGAAAATCAGACCAAAACTGTCGGACAAAATGGTCGCCCATCGTACACAAAGAGTGTAAACATCTGGTATATCAAGGTTGTGGACCTTCTAGAGGCCACAATTTTGATCCGATTTTGATGAAACTTGAAATACATGTTTATAACCCACATCATCTCACTTTCATCTGATGTTTTGACAGTAAAATAGGCATCAGTTCACTTGATTCATCCTGCCTGGCACATACAATAAACAGAGATTAATCCTATACAGATATCTAGGATGTATTTTGAGTACATGTACTCTTATGACAAAAAATAAATATTTGTGAGATACTCGATTTTAAGTCTATTATAATGCGGCAGCACGATTTACCCAATACTTATTAAATACTACCCAATACTTATTAAAATACTAACCATTAAATACTACCCAATACTTATTAAATACTATCAAATACAACCACATAATACCTCATAAACTATCACAGTAGTTGAATTATACCCCCCAAAATTTGTGGAATCAGCAAAATTTTTAGACAAACTGGAAGTGTTTATTTAGTACCCTGCAGCTCAAGCATCTGAAAGACAAGCCAAATATTACCAAATATCTCCCAATTCTTACCCAATAATACAAAATACAACCACATACTACCTTATTATTATCCGAACTGACAGAATTCTTCAATTACTTCAATACTAAAGAGTTAATTCCTATAAAAACTGTAAACATTTGAAATGTATTTGGTAATCAAGGGAGATAATTGGAATAGCGAGATATTGACAATCACATTTGTCTACATTTTTATACGCCCACATTGAAATGTGGTTGTATATTGATGTCGCCTCTTTCCGGCAGACCGGTGTCGACAAGCTCTAGAGTCTAAACTTAACAACCGATTGTCTTAACATTTATACACAGTGTTTAAGATCATGGTACAAAGAAGTCTAGTGATTTTCAGCGATTTCTGATAATTACTCCCAGAGTTATGGGCTTATGGCCCTTGATCACTTTGAAGAATCTTATAGACACACTAGAGGCTACAGTTAATGTCTGATTGACTATAAATTTATACACAGTGAGGTGAAGAATCCTATTGCTTTTTAACAATTTCCAATAATTATTGCCAGAGTTATGGCTCTTGATCACTTAAGAAATCTTGTGGATGCGCTAGAGGCTAAAGTTAATTTAAATTTATACACAGTGATTAAGGTCATAAGACAAACAATCAAACAAATTTTAATGATTTCTGATAATTACATAATGAGTTGTTACTCATAACCCATTATGTAGTTATCAGAAATTATTAAAATTTGTTTCGATTGTTTGTCTCATGACCTTAAACACAGTGTATAGAGACAACCCAGTATGTTTTGTTGTCTGGCAACCCATCTTTTTGCATGTTTTCCATGAATAAACTCAATTTTTTTTATATAATTGAAGTATTATGTTAGATTTTCACAATAATGAGGTAGTTTGTGGTTGTATTTGGTAGTATCTAATTAGTATTGGGGAAATCGTCCTGTCCATTGTAATGTATAAGTTTATTGAAAAGAAAACTTTTCTACATTATATAGAGAATCTCCTGCAAGTCTTTTTTGATATCTAAAAATATCAACACAAGTCGGACAGATATTCCTTTGAGAGATTAAACTTTCACAATATTTTAGTTTTGCAAGAGATTAACAATCCTTCAAATGGCGATGGGAGACTTTAAGATAGTTAATATAATATACATTATAAGACAGGGAACTTAATATACATTATAAGGGTGGTGACCTTTTCCTATCCTCTGAAAATATATATTTTTTATAATAAAATAAGAAAATTATTATTATTGCAGATTGTTTTGTCTAAAGTTAAACATTATGAAGAAGAGATCAAGAGAAACAAGGAGGAAAACAAACGATTACAGGAAGAACTTGATGACAAAATGGGACAGTTACGAGATCTTTTGATATTTAAAACCAACCATGAGACATTAAATCATGATTTACAAGAGGCTAGACAGAAGAATTCTGAATTTCAATACAGAATTATTCGCCTAGAAAAAGAAATTAAAGAAGTAGCAAAAGAGAAAGATGAAGGAGACCTTGTGGAACAACTCAAAATTAAATTAGAAAAACTTTTGAAGGAAAGAGAACTCAAAACTGATGAAGTCAATACACAATCAGATTTTGTGCAGAATTTAAGAGCCGAAATAGAGCAGTTGAAAATTGCTTTAGTTACAGCACAAAAGGAAAAAGAGTCAATTGCAATGCAACATCACAAGATTCTATCAGAATTGCAACAACTAAAGAAACAGTTTCTGAAAAGTAACAGTAAATCCACGTTCAAAGACTTTGTATCGCTAAAGCGTGAAATAAAAAATCTCAAGTACGAAAATGATGATTTAAAGGAACATATTATGGCCACTTCTAATGTGTATACAAGTTTGCCATCTATCAAACATGACAAAGTTGACAAGTCAAATAAAACATCTAAACCAAGTTCTGCTGCTATCTCTATACCAAAGAAAAGCTTACAAAGTATTTCATATCACTGAAATATAAACTATAAACAATATTTTATTTTTTATTCCATATATTTTATTCCTTGTTACTGTTCTTTAATATTTTTAAATTTTGAATTGTTTTTCTTCATCTTTCTGATTTCAATAAATTAATCCGTATACCTGCATTTCGTTTATTGAAGGTCCATACCCCACATTAGATATATGAAGTAGCTTGATGGTTTTGGCCCCTGCAGGGTGTTTTCAGCGACACAATATTATACAGAGCTAAATTAGCCATGCATTAAGAGTGTTGCATCATTTTTTAAATTGAACACAAAATCATAAACAAATGCAATGATGCCAATAGAAAATCAATGAGAAAATGGATCTTTTGCTGATCAAAGGACTTCTTGGAAGCCAGTTAAAGGGACATTAAGATTAGATAAAGAGCTGAAAGTTCTGGTTATAATAGTTAAAATGTAGATAACGAAAAGAGAATATGCTGGAAATTTCAGTAAAATTTCTCCACTCAGAGCGGGGTTGGCCTGTCATTGAGTCAACTGGCGTGGTTTCCATTCCCCAGTCGTATGTGACAAGGAGTAGGGTCGCCTGTCCAACCTCATTGGTTTTCTCCGGTTTCCTTCCACTGCTAAGACCCCTACGCGCAAGTGAATTATTGAAATAAAATTGAACCATGTGTTAGTCCCGAAATGACCTAGTTTGTGTCGAGTGGATGTAAAACCCCATTTCTCTCTCACTCTCTCTCTTGACTCGGAACCTATATATTAGTGATTCAATTTTAGTCTTGATTATCCATTTTTACTGTTATTTCATCCACAACCAAACATATTCAAATCCACTAAATATCACAAGCTAATGAAAGGCATCGAGAGTTGATTATGGTCTTGATAATTAATAATTTAAGATAACATTTAGGGCCTAAAGAAAGACCTACAATTTGGAAATTTAGTAGCTCTTGCATAATGCATGCTTAAATGCCAACCAAATGCATTTAAAAAAAAAAAAAACAAGGATTTGGAAGTCTAAAATATACAAAGCCTGTTAAATGTGGAATCACTTGCAGGGCTACAATTGTCCTGTACTTGTTTGTCCTGATTTAATTAGCACAGTATTACCTGGTTTGGCCATGTATTTTATCCTACTGCAAACCCCTAGCGCCATACTAATTTATACAATATTAAATTTATACATAAAAGTATATTTACTTTAATTATTCAATCCTGCAATTTATCAGTAATTTAGAGAAATTATCAGGAGACAAAATGTGCAGATTAACCGGAAAACATTGACATTGTTCATAGTAGTTTATCACAAAATTAAATTTGTCACCAAACGGTAAAAGGTGTTGTTAACAAGAGTTTCTTCCCTTTATCCAGCACGGGATTGTCAAAATAACCAATTTCATGTATTATACCCCCCCCCCCCTCTCTGTTAATATCAATGTTATTGATTAAAACGAATATGTTAATGTTGATTGATATTGTTATATGTCTGAAATAACTGGAACTATTTACTCCGATAGATCAGAAGTGTGTTATGGCATCATGAGATGTTTTATTGGCAAGCAATGTAAGGGAATCCGAAATTTAATTCAACAGATGATAAATGGAAAAAACGAAGAACACAAGTGACCTAGTATTTTATTACCAAAATAAATGTCGACAATTAGATGGGGGATCTTAGTAGGAATTGACGCAATGAAATCTAATTAAATAAATCCAATGACCGGGTTAGATGTAACGGTACAATCATCAGCTTAAAAAATCGATAGCAACAAAATATGAGTGAGACAATGTCGTGATTAAATTAGAATGGCGAGAATTCAATAACTCGTTGAGACCAGTGTAATTAACAATCTTCTATACAGAAGTCGAGAAAGCCCAGTTTTCTATTGCTTGTTATTCGTACGCTCTCTTCAAAATTTGCACTTTCTTTGCAATTTTTACATGGTCTACGTTCAAATCAACTGAAATATATCGTAATATGATTGTGGCACAAGCTGATGAAGAGAGGGAACAAAATAAACAAAGCGTTTTTCACCATCTGATAAACGAGCTTACGCCATTTAATTAATCTCTCGCCACCGAGTGATGTTACATTAATGTTCCTTTTTAGTTAGCAGAAAGCAAATATTTGCTGAAGAACTCGAGGTTATGTCCAAAATGTAATTGTGCCCCAGGGCGTATAATTGACTGGAATATTGTAAAGACGGATTGACTTACAAGATAAGAAGACCAAAGTTTGTGTAGTAGCAGAGGAAAGCTAAATTCTTGATAACTATAGTGTCGTGGATCTCTTAATGAGATGCTACAGGTTCTTTTCGTTAGTCATCGGAATTAACAAACAAAAAGAAGAGAACTGATAATTACTAACCCTAACCCTAGTAAAACCATACAAAATTTCCACTCAATATATTCGGGATCTAGTTTGCCGATTCTTCAGCATCCGTTCTTGAATTATGGAGAAAAAAAATAAATATGTCGGGAAGACCAATCACAGGTTGGTATAAAATAGAAAATCAAACAATGATAGACGATCCGAGGTGAAATTTAGATCATTAACGAAAAGCAAACGACATCTCGTTCATTAGAAAGGGGCGAGATGGTATTTTCAACATGACATCTTATTCAAAGCCTAATAACATCGTGGCACCTCCATTTAATTAAAAGCTGACCTGTGTGATGGCATCTCAGAGAACAAATTCGCTTGTCTTGAGGCATCGACATTAAGATGGACAAATTAGGCGAAGAATTATATCTTTACTAGATAGGATATTGATCGCACAATTCATCTTTCATTAGTGTTGACGACAACTAATCGTTATGTTACGTTACACTGTTGGGCCAATATGGCGACCTTTGGCCGAGCTGTTGTAAACTCACAAAGTTTGTAATTTGGATGATGGTCGTTTGGTTGAAGATTTATAGGTTATATTTATCCCTTACAAGATTTGCTCGTGAAGTTGTACATTAACTAAATGGTGCTATCCATATTTTGTGATCGGTCTTGAATTCCGTAATTTAAGAATCGAGGTAGCTTATTAATGAGCTAAATCGCTAATATTTGAGACCGGGAAATTGACACAAATGGGTCGCAGCGCATATAATAATGTAATATGAATATATATAAACTAATTTACATTCAATCATTTCCGTTTGTACTTTAATTTCAAATCAGCTATGTTCGGCGAAATACCCCAGAAGTCTCAATTGAATGGCAGTCTAGCGCCTGGTTATTCCAGTGTTTATTGCGCATGCTCTCCAGATAGTATAGACGTCATTGGACATAGTGGAATATGTTTTTTCTAGCCTCGTTCTTCGAGTCCCTTGTTACAAATAGCGCCGAAACGCATTATGGTACCAATGGTAAAATGTTTATTTTGTCTTGAATATATTTGATATCAAAAGTCAATCTTTTACCGGTGAGATCACATCAATGTTGATTTGAATTGACAAATAATTCGAGTTTTCTATATCCAAGACTTGGGATGATATTGAATAAGAGACTTAGCTACTTTAATATACCTGTAAGATCAAATCGCCCTATTCTGAATTGTTTTTACTCCCTTATAGGATGGTAACTATAACAAAATTTCAACAAACATTTTATATCTTTTTTTTTTAAATTGAGCGACTGAATCAGACTGTAACGAGACCATGTCGGTACTAGGGTGGTATATTAGATTCAAATTTCTAACGTGCTGTCGTATAATTTCTAACTTCTATTCATGTAAGTTTTAATTTCTATTCATGTAATTTCTAACTTCTATTCATGTAGTTTTTAAATTAACACAATGTATAATCCAACTTCATTATTTGTTCAGTGTAAATTTTAATTCTATTTCATCTTATTTCTTCTATTTAGACGAAAAAGGTCTTCTTCATTGATACTTTACACGTTTAGCATGAACATCGAACGAATTTAGAATTTTTACTCTTTTGCCTAGCAACCATCATTATGAAGTCGTTTTTTGTCGCCACTGCGTGCTCATTTGGTGATTGAGCACCTGGTTGGGACCATAATGTTGATTTAAAATACAGATGTGACGTCATCCTTTGATGTTGGCGTACCATTATTCCAAATGATGGTACGGGCAATGTGCAAAGCGTACATTATTTATACAAGTTGCAATATTGGACCCGCGTGACGTATTTCTTTGAAATGCAGGTGCTGGATAGTGTCTGTATTTTAAGTTGTTTGATGGTCTCGTGCATGCCATTGCGTAATATATAGATATTGCCCTCGTGCTATCGCACTCGTACAATATCAATACATTACTTAAAGATACATTATGGGAGATTCGATAAGGAGTTGGCAGTTGTCACTATAATAGTTAAAAACTAGATAATGCAAAGGCAATTTGCTGAAAATTTCATTCAAATTGATCCACTATGAACCGAGAGCTAAGCGATTGAAATTTCAGGCTAGCCTTGATCATCATCACTAAAGTCAGTACGATCAACAGCATAGTCTCGATTATCCATTTATTCGTTAAATCGTGAAGGAAAGTTATGCAGTAAATCGGCTCATAATCCACTAAATATTGCAGGCTAGCGATGCCAAATAGAGTTGGTTATGGTCTGGATAGGTTAATTAATGTCTAATAATTTAGATAACATTTAACGTCCACTCGACACAAACTAGGTCAATTTTATTTCAATAATTCGCTTGTGCGTAGGGGCCTTTAGCTGTGGGAAAAACCAGTGGACCTGGAGAAACCCACAATGGGGGACAGGCGACCATACTCCTTGTCAAGTACAGCCGAGGAATCGATGGTTCATCGACTGCCACAAAAGGTCCATGTTTTGGACTTGGCTATTTGCCTCATTATAAACTGAATAGTTCTAAACCTTTTTCTTCAATATCCTAACATACGGATATCTTGTAAACACACAGCCCAACATGACACGCACTTGAATAATTGTTTTGGGAAATATTCCCATTTTCGTGGATTGTCTCCTTTGTTTTCATTCTGAGTGACGCCTGTCTCACTACAGGTCCGGAACAGCGCCATAGACGCCCATAACATCCATCACTTGCACGATATGCTAATACATTAATTTGTTGTTGATTGCTTGCAATGTTCGTGCGTTGTGTGTCTTGTCCGCGAGCTTGTCTTCTAGGTTTCGGTTGGTGTGTGGATGGGCTCTACAATGTTTCGGTGTCAAGGGCCGGCATGCTTATTTATAATTATCCGAACAACTAGTGTGTTTAAATATATTCAAAATTCTAATGCGATTAACATATAGGAGCGACGTCGAATTTCGATGAATTTTTCTCTCTTTAAAGGAGCTAAATCGCTAATATTTGGGACCTAGAAATTGACACAAATGGGTCGCAACGCATATAATAATGTAATATGAATGTATATAAACTGATTTACATTCAATCGTTTCTGTTTTTACTGTAATTTCTAATCAGTTATATTCCAGTCTACACCGATGGTATTTATTGCGCATGCTCTCCAGATAAGAATATAGCGTCACCATTTGACATGACTTGTGGAATATGTCTAGCCTCGTTCTTTGAGTCCCTTGTTCCAAATAGCGCTGAAACGCATTATGGTACACGATTCGTGTACCGATGGTAAAATGTTTATTTTGTCTTGAATATTGGATATCAGAAGCCCATCCTTTCCCTGTAAGACCACAAGACCAATGTTGATTTGAATTGACAAATAATTCGTGTTTTCAATGTTGAGGATTTTTGATGATATTGAGTTAGAGACTTAGCTATTTTAAGAGTAGCTAAATAGCCACATCAGGTTTGGTAAAAATAAATAATATAATCTCTGTTATTTTATTTGTTTTGGGTTGGGTTGGGTTGGTTTTGTTTTGTTTTGTTTTGTTTTTTTGTTGGGTTTTTTTTTTTGGGGGGGGGGCAACCCTATATAAAATAAAAAATCATTTCTAGACTGGAACGTCATGCTGCACTTCTGTCGACTCGTCTTTATCCGAAATTACTCTGCTCAATGCGCATTCAAATGGCCCCACTTACCATACCTCTCGCAGTCTTTCGTTTGATTAGACCAGTGGTTCCCAACCTTTTTTGTCAACGGCACACCATAGCGGCACACCTGGCTAAATATATATGAAAAATATTTAAATTTTACAAAATAAAAACATGGCAAGTCATAGACGGCATACAGCCGTAGTCACAGACTAGTCATAGACACATAGAATGACGCAAACTTAATAAAGCAAAACACAGCTATTAACTTATTTTTTTTTGCAGTCAAATAGCTGGCTTCTTTAGTGAGAAATTTTCTTAGTGTGCCGTTCAAAATTTCGTGGCACAATTAGGATTACTGGTTGAGAATTACTGGATTAAACTTAAATCCCGCTCAACACTGCCGTAATCAATGCAAATTTATGTTCCAAATTATGACTGGTCAATAGTCTGATGAACAACCATCATTCGGGTTTAAACAGAGTTCCAAATACATGTATGTATGTATGTATTAAAGCAGAAT